TTTGGCAATAAGGAGTTCATGATCTGAGCCACAGTCAGCTCCCAGTCTTGTTTTTGCTGACTGCAAAGAATATAATCCATCTGATTTTGGTGTTGACCATCTGGTGATGTCCATGTGTAGAGTCTTCTCTTGTGTTGTTGGAAGAGGGTGTTTGCTATGACCAGTGTGTTCTCTTGGCAGAACTCTATTAGCCTTTGCCTTGCTTCATTCTGTACTCCAAGGCCAAATTTGCCTGTTATTTTCTGGTGTTTCTTGACTTCCTACTTTTGCATCCCAGTCCCCTATAATGAAAAGGACATCGTTTTTGGGTGTTAGTTCTAAAAGGTCTTGTAGGTCTTCATAGAACCATTCAACTTCAGCTTCTTCAGCATTACTGGTTGGGGCATAGGCTTGGATTACCGTGATACTGAATGGTTTGCCTTGGAAACAAACAGATCATTCTTTGATTTTTGAGACTGCATCCAAGTACTGCATTTTGGACTCTCTTGTTGACCATGATGGCTCCTCCATTTCTTCTAAGTGATTCCTGCCCACAGTAGTAGATATAATGGTCATCTGAGTTAAAATTCACCCATTCCAGTCCATTTTAGTTTGCTGATTCCTAGAATGTTGACATTTACTCTTGCCATCTCCTGTTTGACCACTTTGAATTTGCCTTGATTCATGGACCTAACATTCCAGGTTCCTATGCAATATTGCTCTTTACAGCATCGGACCTTGCTTCTATCACAAGTCACATCCACAACTGGGTGTTGTTTTTGCTTTGGCTCCATCCATTCATTCTTTCTGGAGTTATTTCTCTGCTGATCTCCAGTAGCATAGCTTTAATATGGGGAGATCATTTTGTAAGAATTGTCTAGAAATCTTTTTGAGAAAGATTAGTGAGGGAAAAAGTTGTTTCATCAAATTTAATACTGTTTCTGTAGTCAAATCAGTATGATAATGAAATAAGATTAGACAAGTAGAATCTCAAGCTGTACCATCTAGTGTTGTAGCCACATGTGACTGTTGAGCACTTGAAATGTCACTCACCAGAATTGAGGTATGCTCCAAGTGTAAACACATACGCTGTGTTTCAAAGATGAGTACAAGAAAGCATGTAAAGTATCTCACTAAGTTTTACAAATATTTAATGTATGTTGAAATTATATCATTCGGTATATGTCTTGTTAAATAAAATATATTATTAATTTTATTGGTTTGCTTCTACAGTCTTTAATGTGGCTACTAGTAAATTTAAAATTAACCTTTGTGGATCACATTTCTGTTGGATAGTGCTGGTCAAGAGTTGATGGTAATGATGATGTTAATGATCACGATAGCAGCTAATATTTTTCAATGCATTGTTCCATTGCCTCCACTTATAGTAACTAAGTTAAGCCTTAGAAAAAAGTATGAGATAGGTACGACTATTATTTTCCATTTACCAATGAGTAAAAGAAACCGAGGTAGATACTTAGTCATTACTAAGAAAACTGCCTGCTTGAAGAGGTTGTTTGTACATCTGTGTTTATTACTCACAATAGCCAAAAGGTGGAAACAACTAAAGAGTCCAACAGTGGATGGCTGGCTGAACAAAGTGTGGTGTGTATGTAGATGGTGGAATATTATTCAGCCTTAAAAAGGAAGGGAATTCTGACACATACTATAATATGATTGAACCTTGAGGACATTATGTAAGTGAAATGTCAGTCACAAAATGACGAATACTACATGATTCTACTTATGAAAGGTGCCTAAAAGAATCCAATTCTTAGAGATAGAAAGCAGAATGATGGTTCCCAGGAGCTGGGGAAGAAGGAGGATTGGGGAACTGTTTAGTGTGTATAGAGTTTAAGGGGTTTTTGTTTTGTTTTGTTTTTTCATCACTCCTCACGGCATGCGGGATCTTAGTTCCCTGACCGGGGATCAAACCTGTGACCCTAGAGGTGGAGGTGTGGAGTCTTAACCAGTGGACCACCAGGGAAGTCCCTAGAGTTTCAGTTTTGCAAAATAAAAGTAATTCTGTGGATTGGTTGCACAACAGTGTGAGTGTACTTAATACTACTGAAATGTACACTTAAAAATGGTTAACATGGAAAAAAAAAAAGGTTAACATGGCAAATACAATGTTTTGTATCTTAACCATAATTTAAGCAACTTTTTTTTAACTCCCTGAATTTTCAGGTAATATTTTATCAATAGTTTCAGTCTTTTAGAATGAGCTTCCCTTTAGTTTTATATGAAATCTTTCATTTACCATTTGATTTCGTTTTGGTCTGTGGCCCTAGCTGTAAAGGCACTAGGATATAGTTATCTTAGAGTCTGTTTTTTTTTTTTTTCCCAGTAATTAGTTGAAATTTCCCAGTTTCAGAGCAGCAAGAATAAAGGAATTGTGCTTTTAAAATTAATGTTAAAGTTAGATCATATTGCTGTAATTTGTCTTTTTAAATGAGGGTAAGTATAGAAAACCTTTTGTAACCAGTTACTATGCTACAGCGCAAGTATGAATTACTGGAGTATAGGTGATCTTTCATACTTACTTGATACAAAGAAAATAGAGAATGTTTAATTTTACCTTTGCTCAAGAGTTTCTGGTGACATCAAAATACTCTTTTTAGTATAACTAGGATAAAACTACTAAAGAGAAAAGAAGACATTATTAAAAAAGTCTATGAAGCATTTCTTCTAAACTTCAGTGGTGTAATTATCACAGATACAAAATACATACTAGTTCTCATTTAAAAGTATTTGCCATTTGAGGCTTTAGAACTAAGAGTATAGTGTTAAAGATACTTTCTCAGTTTTTTTCAGTTATTAAATGGTGTAGAGTGAATGATTACTAAAATGGAAAACAATTCTTAATAAAATTACATACAGATTTCAAAAATGAGCATCTTCATTTTTGTCATAAACATGGAATGTTGTTTTAAACACTTCTCATTCTATGTTCACCTTATAACTTTAGAGACTGATATTCTCAAATTATTCTTTTGTGGGGGGAAAAAAACCCTTCTGTTTGTTTTTTATAAATAGGATGCAGGACAAAAAAGATTTGGAGCAGTTTCCTGTAATGTTTGTGGCATGCTTTACACAGCTTCAAATCCAGAGGATGAAACACAGCATCTGCTCTTCCACAATCAGTTTATAAGTGCTGTAAAATACGTGGTAAGTAGAATTCATGACTTCTAAAATGCAGAATCAGATCATTAGAGATGAATTGTCAGATTCAAGTCATTGAAAAAAATTTGTCTTTAGAAAATAGCACCATATACAAAGCCCCTGTAGTATATATACAGGCTTATTTTAAAACAAAACCAAACATAAAACCCAGCAAATTTGTTCTGGCTGGTGTATGTTGTGGGATTTTTAAATTTAACTTAATTTCCAAATTATTATATTTTTAACCTCTTCTAACAAGTGATGCTCTTCAACTTGAGTATTTTTTAAAATTTCCTTTGATTTTAATTGTTAACTATTGATAAGTCTGTTTAGTATTCAGAATAGCTTGACACAGCTTTTTTGGTGGAATTGATAGTGGTATTTATTACACCAAATAGATTGTGTGGGGATTTCCTTTACCTTCTCTTTGCTAACATAAGAGTTTTTCTTATTAAAGAACAATTCCTGATGGTTAAAACCTCAGACTTTGTAGTATACTTAAAAAAAAAAAATCCCACAAAGTAAATATATTTTAGTATATATATTTTAATGTATGTGCAGTTGAGGCATAATGGGTATTATTTAATATTTGGTTTTGGAAGTAGCAAAATTTTAAATAATTTTGAACCATTTCAGATATCTTGTGAAAATAGTAATTTAATGTAATTGCTGTTTACCCGTATCTGAAATGGAATTTATTTTATACATGTTACCTTCAGTACTGTACACTCACATTAATAAGACCTCCAGGATATCTGAACTGAGATCACCAATTCATTTCATATAGGCACTAGATTTTAAAGATTTTTATTGGCTTCAGTTAAATTTGTATCCTTATCTTTGGTTGAAGAATTCATATTTGTGGTTTTATTTATTCAATTACTTCTTCCCAAGATAGGTGGGGTTTTCCTTTTTTGGTTTCCTGCTGTGTTAATCCTTTATATTCCTTATTTCATCTGCTTTTCCCCACACACACCGTTCTCCCACTTAACTAAATAAAATATAAGGTATATGGATATAGAATATCTGTAGCTAGATATTTATTTGTCATTTGAAATTTGTCCTTTTCCAGTTTGACTCTGTTAATATCCTTACAACTTGAAAAGAAAAATAGGCCTATCAAGTAGCTAAATTATGGAATACTTCTGGGGCAGAAATATTTATTTTACATCCATCAATCTGGTAGAATTGTATTCTGCTCAAGTTACATTATTTGATTCTTGCAGCCAGTTTCCAAAAATTATAAAGAAATTTGGTTTAAAAGACTTAATTCTTTATTTTAAGAGAAGTTCTTAATTTCTGAGACCAACTGTAAGGAAATCAACCAGGAGATAATGTACTCTGCTCTTCCACAACACCAAAGGAAATTAGTTTATGGAACAAGGTGGAGGCATCACTTCTTAACAAATCCTGGCTCTTGCAAGTCCGTAAAGCAGCAGAACAACTTAAGGAAGACTAATTCCTGCCCCCCTCTCCCCCCACCCCCCGCCCCCTTCTTGATGGGACAGAGCTACAGGTTATTTTATTTACTTTTGAAATAAACTCAAGAGAAGGAATTGAGTTTAGCAGTTGGCCATCCTTTGCTAACATCAAAGTTAGCGTTCTTACTTTTTGTTTTTTCAAACATAGATATACATAGATGGTAAGGTAGAAACTCCTCCAAAACTTTGTAGCATTCTTTTCTAGTGTATGGAGAGGATAAAAAAGCACACCCATATTAAAGATGTTCTGCTGTGATCACAGCACTGGATTCTGGGTTATCACTTACATGAATCTTTCATTGGGCACCCAGTGTTGTGCTTTTGCATTAAGTACTCGTAAGGGTTTGATGAAACATCTAAATTTTTTAAATGCCAGTTTATCTGTCGTGTCTGTTTCTTGGAGAGAAGCACATAGCACTAAGAAGTCATTTTGTGCTGTGGCTTTTGTTTATATTTTTAATTTTAAATGGGCAGTGTTCAGGGAATGGGAATAAAGTTCTGTACTGCTTAATATAGAATTAATTCTGTACTGCTTAAAATAGAATAAATTAGAATAAGTTTTACTTCTTTTATTTTAATCAAACACTGCTGACAATATAAGCAGTTTTTCTTTTTTTTTTTTCTTTTTTAATTTAAATTATTTATTTATTTTACTTTACAACGTTGTATTGGTTTTGCCATACATTGGCCTGAATCCGCCATGGGTGTACATGTGTTCCCCATCCCGAAACCCCTCCCAACTCCCTCCCCATCCCATCCCTCTGGGTCATCCCAGAGCAGTTTTTCTTTACAGTAGAAATTTTTTCTTATAATTATTTCATCATGATAATTTATGACAGGTAAAAATGTCTGAAGTCTTCTTTTCAAAAGATTAAAATAATACATAAGTTATGTAGTCATAGTAGAAATTGATGCCACAGAACCTACTTTTGGTTTACTAAAATACTTTATCCTTTATGTATTCTCTTTGACTTGGGGTAGGGGAGAGGAATGACAGTGCTCTCTTTGTGTATTCCTTCATTGTACTCCATCTGCCTCATTGACCCCATTTGAGTAAATGTATTTTACGTGGCCTACTCGAAACTACTTAGGAAGGAGCCTCTTAAAGCTTCCTAGGGATTCTGGATTCTGGTTTAGACCTAGCTTCCCTTCAGTTTCCCTTCATGAAGTGTTTTCCTAAAAGTGTGAGGAGAAAACAGGAAAAACTCCCCCAAGAGCATTCAGCCTTGTTGCCAAGCAAGGAACTATCCAGAATTCAGCTAATAGCGTTTGGGTTCTTTGCAGAAAAACTCCTGACTTAATCCTTCTTTACCTCTGTCTTTCCCTTACCCTCCTTTGAATTGATTATCTAACTGAATGTGTTGTGGAGGACCTTACATTCAGGGTACTGGATATGCCCTTGGCCTGCAAATTTAGGAACAAAGCCTGAAAGAAGCGAAAAGTTAACAATAAAAGATTTAAACAGCTATTGAAGCAATAAGTCAATATTAACTATTTAAATTATAAATTAACTTTTCAGTTTAGAAATGATAATTACTTTGGTAGAGCTGTGATCAGAAGATGGGTTGTTTTTCCTGTCTTGGTGCCCAGAGATGCTTTGAAGAAAGGTTGGACCAATCCATAGTTGGCTGTATAGCTGCACTATCCAGTTTGGTGACACCAAACCTCCAAACATGAGAAATGCAGGTCCTCATTCACACTAGCCGGTGCTCTCTTGTCACATGTTACTAGGTGCTCTGTGTCACTGTGGAGGTAGAATATTTGAATTGTCATAAGGAGTTCAGTTAGTGCTGCTACATGTAGATTTATCAAAACAAATAGCTTTAGTGGAAGGGTAAGGGTTCTAGCCTCTGTTCAGTTCAAATACTGCAGAGAATGAGAGAAGTACCCTGGAGGAGATCCTGCCATCATAGCACACCTACAAAATGAAAAGTCTTTAAAGCATCTTTAGAATTGAATCTGATTTTTCTAAAGTAAAACTTAAATTCTTGTGTATATTCTTTTATTCCTGACTTACTCAATGAGTGGAAAAAACCACTATGTCACAGAACTTTTGTTTTTCTGAATACCTTCTTTTAAACTGTGAATGATTAACTTAAACAGGTTGGCTTGCTTTTAGTGGTTAAGTCAATTCAAAATGGGAAACCATGAATCTTGAAATACTCTAATGATAATAAATATAGCTAACAGATATGAAGGTTAGCTTTAGAAAGTGTTGTGCTTAATTATGCTTTAATAGACCAATTATATCATTCATGTCTTGTTAGCTGAACATAAGTGAAAGTCACTCAGTCGTCTTTGTGACCCCATTGACTAGAGTCACTTGGAATTCTTCAGGCCAGAATACTGTAGTGGGTAGCCTTTCCCTTCTCCAGGGGATCTTCCCAACCCAGGGATCGAACCCACGTCTCCCACATTGTAGGCGGATTCTTTACCACAAATTAACATATATAAGATTTAATTATTTTAACTTCAGCAGTTATTTGTGTGTACAATTAAATTTAGTTCAGAAATAAATTGATCTCAGTCGCTTTGAAACTAAAGTTGTCTCAGATAATCAGCTTCAGTGCTTGTGATACTGTGATTTATGAGGAAGATATTTATTTAGTTCCTGACTCACAGCTCCCAAAACCTTTGAAATTTCCTAAGAGATGGGATACAATGTGTTTTGTTATGTTAATGAGATGACTTTTGGAACTAGCTAAGGTTGGGAGCCAACTACTGAGGGTTGGAACTTTCAGTTCTCACACAGTGATCCTAAGAGGGAATAGGCACTGGAAATTGAATTCTGTTACCAGTTGTCAATGATTTAATCAGTCCCACCTCTAGTGAAACCTTCAAAAAGCCAGGACAGGGTTCAGAGAGCTTTTGGGTTGGTGAGCACATAGAGATTTGGAAAGGTGGTATGCCTGGAGAGAGCATGGAAACACGTCTTTAACAGTATTGTTGTTAATACAAAATTATTTTTGCAAAGTAACCAAATGTGAAATTAAAACCTTCTGCTTGGGGGTAGTTAAGGTATATTAATACTTTTATTATACCATATTATTAAAGTAGAAAAAACCAGGAAATACAGATAAGCTGAAAGGAAAAAATTAAATCACATAAATAACCTCAATTTATAATTTGGTATACAGTCTTACTGACTTTTAAAATATTCATAAGTACATGTTTGCTTTTAAAAATCATTTCAACAGAAATATTTTTACGTATTTCAAGAGTTTGTAATTTGTTTCTCTTATGCAGTTTTTCTGCAGTTTTTTATGCTATGTGCCATGGGTACTGTCAAAAAGAGCATGTGACTGAATTTTGAATGAGCTAATTTTAATTTACTTTTGTTTCTAAAGATTTAACATTTTTTAAAATTGGTATTTAGAGTATGTTTATTTAAACAAATAACAGCTGTTAGTCTTGCTGTTGAACTAAAATGTCTGTTTTTCAAATTGCTTTAGTAATTTAAATAAAATTTTAATTGAAATAAAACTTGTAAAGAGAAGTACACAAATAATGAACAAGTGCACAGCTTAATGGTGTGTTTTTGCAAAATGAACACCCACATGACAAACACCACTAGTATCTCAGAAGCCCCTTTGGGCCCCCACTGCAGTCAATGCTTGTCTCACCCTCAGGTCTAATCACTGCCAACTGGATTCATTTTACATTCATTTTTCACTTCTGAGTAAATGGTATTTGCGTAAGCCTTGGACCTTTGGTACAGTTTTGACAATTGGGTGATTTGAATTTTCTAAAATAGAGTTCAATCCCCATTCCCCCCACTACCACCAAATAGCGAATCCCCATATATTTTTCACTCAGCTTCAGCATAGCAATAAACAAAATTTTAAGTGTATAATCACACCTTTAAATTTTAATTCCTTAATACCAATATCCTTAATATTAATATCAGCTATTCCCTCAATATTAATATCCTTAATATCAGCTATTCCCTCAGGGGTCAGAATCTCCCCAAATATCTCATAATTTTCTATACTGTTTGAATTAAGGTCCATATATTGCACTGGTTGGTATGTCTCTTAAATCTCTTTTAATCTAAAGATTCTCCCTCTAGGTTTTTTTCCCTTGCCATATTTGTTGATAGTCCTTTTGAAAAGCTAGTTATTGATTTTATTTCTCCGAGTATTCTTTCATGAATATTTCCATTCAACCTTTAATGGAAGTGATTAGTAGGAACTTTTACAGTTGGATATCATTTTAACACACAAATCTTAAATGTTTGATTGATGAATTTTGACAATTGTATACACATCAATATATCTACCACCCAGTGTATTTTGTTTTCAATTGTAATCTTGTTCAAATAGAAAAAGAGGAAAACCCCTTCCATTCTTGAGACTCTATAAAGTCTAGAATAACTAGAACAGCAAGGGACAAAAAAAAAAATAGATCATTGATTGTTATTAGCAGTGTAAAGGTTTCTGCTTTTCAGCAACCAGATAGGTGAATTAAGAATGGGATTTGGAAAATACTACTTGCTAGCAGAGGGCTGTGTGTAACATCTTACAGCTAAAGGTGAAAGGTGTAAAGGCACTGCATTGAAATTTATATCTTTGGAGAAAGCTGTGGCTATTTGGTTATTCCTCTAAATCACATTTATCCTTCAGCAAACAGCCTCTGCCTCAGTTTCAAGCAGCAGACTTCATCTCATCTAAATTCTCTAAAGATAGGAGGATCATGTGGTTATTGACTCCAGGAAAGAGTTAACTGCAATTGAGGTGTATAAATGTCTTTAGTATCTTATTTGACAGTTTTTAGCCACATTGGGTCTTTCATCTTTGCCTTGTCCAAGGTTTGAACTTATTTTTACATGTAACTTTGGGGGCTTTATTAATTGTGTTTTCTTAAAGTAGTACACTGACTGTAGTTTGACACCACTAGGAAGGTAGAGTGGAAGTTACTAAGAGTTCCTGAGTAGCCCCTCTGTGAGAGGAATCATCTTAAAGCAGTTCTCTAAACTACTAAGTGAGGTGGGTGATGACAGCTATTTTATCCATAGACTAGGTCAGGAAACAGAATGGATTGCAGTGATTTGCCCAAGATTATATTGCTAATAACTACCAAGAAATGGGGTTTAAGCCCTGAACTTTTAATCCAAAACTCGAAGTTTTCTCTTAAATATGCTGTCTTCATGGGTATTAGAAACTTAAGCAGTAATAATTCTGCCCTTTGCAGTTCCTCCTGCTTATACACTTACATGAAAAAACTATCATGTTTAAAACATTTTAAAAAATTGTATCAAATCGAATTGTGAAACATTTTCTGCATGAACATGCAAGTGTCAACTTGTTTCAAGAGAAAATTTTGCCCAAAAAAGCCAATAAAGCAAAATAATTTATATAGTGCCAAATATATAAAGCAAAATAATTTATCTAGTGCCGATGGTGCAGTATAATGTTGGCCAGTATTGTTATTTTTAAAGACAACAGGAAAGTAACTTGTCAAATTATTTTTAGATAATTCAGCTCAGGAAACTATGACTTTGTTGTAAGTTGGAGTTAGTTCAATTCTAGCTCTTCATTGAAATTGTAGCTTAGTTTTTAAAATGAAAAGTTTCTATTTTCATTTTATGCAAAATAGGTTTATTTTAAAAGCTTTTCCCAAAATAACATTAATGTAAATTTGTTTTTTAAAGAGGATGATATCTCTTATGCCTTCTAAAAACATTTACCTATATTCAGGTCTGGATATGATTCAAATTTTGTTTCTGATTTGAAAAAAATGACTTCTGTGACTATTGTTTCTGCTCCTTTTTTCTCTTCAAATTTTGGGAACATATGACCATCCTAATTATGATCATCTGAATTTGCTTTACTTTTGGGAGCTCTATTTTTTAAACAAATCCTGGTTTTAAATACTTCAAATAATTGTTTATACCAAGTTTGTTACTAGACTTTTTGTCCACAACTAAGAAACCACCCTTTCCCAAAAGACCATTCTGGATCATTTAAGAAAATCAATCTCCTTTCAGACCTGCTGTAGTGTTTTTTAAAAATATAGTTGCCTTTTTCTTGGTTTCACTGAGCTTTAATACTCTGAAGCAAATCTCAGAAAGATGCTGGTTTTCTTTAAGATAAATACATTGCTTCTTGAAAAACCTTTTTATTTAAAGTTGGTTGGGTAAGACAAATGGAACAACCAGTTAAGCTCATTCCTTCTGTACTTATTTTTAACCTCAAAGCTCCTAGTTTTAACCTCTGGTTCAGTCCCATCTTACTAGATTTAAGTGGCTTTTGTTTTGTTTTTTTTTTCATGCAGGTTCTGCTCATTAATCACCACGAGTGTGGATCTGAAGAAGAGTTTATTACCTCTCTTTTTTTGAGTATGTTTAACTTCAGATACACACAACGTAGCCTCTCCTTCCCTATTAGATTCTTAGAAGGTAGTTATATTTTTATAGTATCCTTCTTGTGACTTTTGATAGTTGTGATCAATAAAAATAAAAACTATTCCTTACATATTGGGCTCCTGCATGCAAATCAGTTCATTTACAACCTCCTGGAGGTCTTTGGCATGCCAGACATAAAACCATGAGTGTTTGTTTGTGGAGGTAACCATGTTCCAGAGAGATTTAAGACTTTAATTCTCTTATCAAGAAACTGGGAGAGTTATCCTTTAGGTTCTGGGAGTCACTGACTTTAAGGGGCTTGCTTTTGCTGTGTGATTTTCAAAATTAATTTAAAATGGAAAATGATAAATTAGACATGCTTTTGTGGTCTTAGATCACTGAATGAATAGTAGAGAGAAATTAGCTTACATTGTACCTGTGTGTGCTTAACAAATAGCTGATTTATCATGTCTTTTTAAACATTAACAAGCATATATACTTTTCCATGTTTGTAATTTTTAGACACATTGATGTATTTTTCTTATTGTACATAAATATGATGTATGAAATATGGTAAATAAATTTCTTCTTTTTTTTTTATATGTATCTAGGGTTGGAAAAAAGAAAGAATTCTAGCTGAATATCCTGATGGCAGGATAATAATGGTTCTTCCTGAAGATCCAAAATATGCCCTGAAAAAGGTAAATTTCCAGTGAAATTTCACACAGAATGAATAATTTGCAGCTGATTTTAAGAGTATAATGTATTACTGGCAGCACATTTAAACACCCCATTCTGAGAACAAGAAATAAGCATTTAGTCACACCTGACTGAAAAATTAATGCTTTAACTTTGTAGTTTGTCATTTGTTGTTCATTTTCTAAGTTGTGTCTGACTCCTTGCAACCCTATGGACTGCAGCAAACTAGACTTCCTGGTATTTCAGTATCTCTTGGAGTTTGCTCAAACTCAGTCTCCATTGAGTGAGTGATGCCATTCAACCATTTCATCCTCTGTCCCTGTCTTCTCCTTCTCTCAATCCTTCCCAGTATCAGGGTCTTTTCCAATGAGTTGACTCTTCATATTAGATGGCCAAAGTACTGGAGCTTCAGCATCCGTCCTTCCAATGAATATTCAGGGCTTATTTCCTTTAGGATTGACTGGTTTGATTTCCTTGCTGTCCAAGGGAATCTTCAAGATTCTTCACCACCACCACCACAGTTCGAAAGCATCAATTCTTTGGCGTTCTTTATGGCCCAATTCTCACACCCTCACATGACTACTGTCTAGCATATGTGAAATGAATTTTTAGTGGAGTGATTACTGTCTCATATTATCAGTAATTTGAGTGATGATATAGAAGGCATAGTAAATGCCACATAAGTGATTTCAAGAATCAAAATTAAAATACAAATCTGAATCATAATTTATAAAATTGAAACTAATAGATGTCATTTTATTCTGAGAGTAAATTTCTAATATCCTTGTTCTTAGTAAACTACAGTTCAGTATGTTACTGGTTAGTAACCCATAATAGGTTAAAAATTAAAATACAAAGAATTGTGAGTCATTTGCCTTTAGGAACTGAGTCAGGTGTTGCATCGTGGGATATTTTTCTAGGATTAAGAGGACTTGGGTTTTCATCCCTGAATAAGGAATGTGTTACATGGTATTCTGCAATTCGGAAGTGTGAATATTTAACCCCCTTAGGTGTCATTTGCATTTTAAAGTTAGTGTCACAGATGAATGTTTATTGGACTGAATATTTGCAGATTTTTTTTTTAAACTGGCAAAGGAACTGATGTTTGAGTGCCTGTAAAAATCTTGACTTTGAATACCTACAAAAGTTTGAGCTTATCGTATGTGACCTTGACTAGGAGGTAAAGTGGTAGAAGCAGTTTGATGCTATGTTAGCATTATGGGTTCAAATCCCAGAAAACCCAGCTCTTTGGTTCCCAGTGTCCCATATCTGACATGGGAAAGTTATTTAACCTCTGAATTTTATTTCTTCCATATGCAAAGTGAGAAACTATCAGCCTGTAAGAGGTGTGGATTTAAATTAGATAGTATTCATAAAGTGCTTTGCATAATATCTGACCCTATAAACTTTTGATAAGGAGTAAACATTAATGCCTTTTCTCTGCGCTCACTTCCAGTCCACTGATGAGAGTACTAATTAAGGCTTGCGAAGAACAATGTGGCCTGCCTGGCTAAGGTTCCAGTGAAGTTCTCTCCAGTGCTCCATTCCGTGATACTTACTTACACTGGGAAGCCTTAGTGTCCTTATTACCTATCAGAGGAGCTCTCACTCTTGTTCCCAGATTGCTGGGCTTGATATTACTCTCCATTCTTTCTTCCTTTTGTAGATTGGTCCACAGAACTTGAAAAACATTTAGTGATCAGGATAGTCATTCAGAAGCACTCTTCAGAGGATGTTCTGCTTGGAATAATAAGCTCAATTTATTGACCTGAAATAGCATATTTTTACATATATAAAATGCTTTTGTTTAAAAAATAATGATTTTTCTTTATTTGGCAGGTTGACGAGATTAGAGAGATGGTTGATAATGATTTAGGTTTCCAGCAGGCTCCACTCATGTGCTATTCCAGAACAAAAACACTTCTCTTTATTTCTAATGACAAAAAGGTAGTTGGTTGTCTAATTGCAGAACATATCCAGTGGGTAAGTGATTTTTAAAGAATGGTTGTATGTAGTTTGGTGTTTAAAGAGTTGCAGCAATAACATCATCCTGGTAAATTTTTCAGCATTCTGTGTAAGGAAGAGTATGAATGCAAAGACTCCTGTGCATAATTTTTTTACTACAGTGAAGTTGTCTTGCATGGGAATTCATTTAAGTCAGTAAATATAAGATAAAAATTCTACAAATCAAAAGTACTATTAAATTTTGTTTAGGAAGTTTCCTTGTTGGCTACTAATGAAATGTCTGTCTCAGTCTCCTTCAGCACTGAAGTAAATCAAGGGTAGCCAGATTATAGTCCAGAAGGCAAATTCTAGCCTGTTTTTTACAACATTTATTGTAACATTGCTATATCCATTTGCTTAAATGTTGCAAGAGGCCAGTTATGCTACACAGCCTGAAATACTTATTTCCTGGCCCTTCATGAAAAATTGCCCACCCCTGCATCAGGTCACCACTTCTTTGGGTGAACTCTAACGAGGACTTGGCTTGTATTTAAGAGCCAAATGTAAACAAATAATAGAATTATAGTAGAAGTGGTATGTTCATATTGTAAGATGGTCCCAAGTTAGACCAATTTAAGAAAACAGAAGATTTTGAACTTCCTAATCATGCTCACCTTGAGGTAGACCTCCTGTGAATTCTGTCTTCTTTTCAGCTGAGTTCTTGCTCATGAATTCAGTGTGCATTGGATTTGACTTTTTGTTTAGTTGATGTCTTTTAGTGTATTAATAGTTGCCTGCAAGTATATATGCATCATCATAAAATTTCCTAATAAGGTGCAAAGTTGAAACAAATATGTGTGATTAATGTCTGTATGTTAAGCTACATAAAAAATTCAATCTGAAAAAAAGTTCAACCTGAAATTGTGTAAGTTTATGAATTTTACTATTTGTAATCACAAATTTGATTTAAATAAATAGCTGACAAGGTAGTTTGGAGATATAAATTTGATATAAAAGGACTAACTCATAGAGCTTGCCATCCTGTAACTGAGTTAATTTTGCATAGTGCACATCTTGTGGCTTCATTTTTTCATTGCCCCAAATTTATTCTTTATCATTTATCCACTTTTATAGGTCTCTGAGTCTTAATTGTCCCACATCTAAGAGATATCAGCAATGTTGTGCTTGATATTTTTACCAGTATGTCAAAGTGCTTTCTGTGTGTATCGAATAACTGTGTTATGTGTTTGAGGATTGTCCTTAGCAACTCATCCCCCTTAATTCCAATCCAGCTAGCATGATTTATGACTCCTGAGGAGGGTTAATAGTAAGGTACCCACTTGAAGGAAGTATCACTTTTTATGTGGGACATAACTTCAGACAGAATTGATCATTGAAACAAATGTAGTTAATTAGATGAGGGGAAAAAGATACTTGAAGTCAGATTTTCACAGAGTGAAAAGGATATTTGCAAATTTTATATAGAGTATTCTTAAATTTGTTTGGCAAATGACTAAGCATTCAGAAAAAAATTGCAGACATCTATCTTGTTTTTTGACTGTTTCTTGCAGTGTTTTTTTTTTTTGTTTGTTTGATTGTTTATAGTGAATGTTCTTTGGTAAACTCGTGTGTTGTGGGGTTTTTTGGCCCTGCCGAGTGGCTTCTGGGATCTCAGTTCTCTGACCAGGGATTGAATCTGGGCCATGGGAGTGAAAGCACTGAGCCCTAACCACTAGACTACCAGGGACCTCTGCACCCTTGTGTTTTTTTAAATTTCTACCTATTCCAAAAATGACTTGTTGCAGTGTTTAGATTAGAACATAGCCATGCGATACTTGCTTGTTTATTCTTTGTTAACTCTCAGTTGTGTTGTCTAATTGTTTTAACTTTTGTACCTCATTCTGTCGAAAGGCTGGTGGTGTCCCTTTTTTGGCCACTAGACTGGCAGAAGAGATGTATGTTTTTCAAAGTACTTTTTTTTTTTTTTTTAAGAGATAGGAGTGTAGGGAAAGGATTTTCCTAAACTTTTGATTCCTCTGCCATCCTGAGTCCCAGTTCTGCACAGCTGTGAACCCTATAATGAAACCCTATCACAGAAACAGCTGTGACTGCTGAGTTCTCCACATATATTTTCGCTGGTCCTAGAACATGGGAGGAGAAGGCAGTGGCACCCCACTCCAGTACTCTTGCCTGGAAAATCCCATGGACGGAGGAGCCTGGTAGGCTGCAGTCCATCGGGTCGCTACAAGTTGGACATGACAGAGCGACTTCACTTTCACTTTTCACTTTCACACATTGGAGAAGGAAATGGCAACCCACTCCAGTGTTCTTGCCTGGAGAATCCCAGGGACGGAGGAAGCCTGTGGGCTGCCGTCTATGGGGACACACAGAGTTGGACACGACTGAAGCGACTTAGCAGCAGTAGCAGCAGAACATGAGAGGTGGAGAAAATTAACATTCACTTCCTATTATGTGCCAGCCGTGGTGGCCAGGTGCTTTGTATTTCCTTATTTAATCTCTCAGCAAGTCTCTGAAAGAGATGGCAGAGAGTTCAGTTTATAGATAAGGAACCCAAAGCTAAATTAAGTAACTTCATCTCATGGTCACATAACTAATAAGTGAGTTAGAACAGAATGTAGATCCAGGTCTGTTTATTTCCAAAAATGAGAGCAAAAGCCTAAGTGGTTCCTACAGTTTGTTAAGAAGCCAGATGGACGTAGTGATGACCTCATGAAAGGTCAGCATGAGACAATAGCTTAATAGTCGTCTCACTTTATAAACACTCTGTCCCCGCCTGCCCCCCAAGAATGTCTCTATGTGTATAACGGACTCACTTTGCTGTATAGTAGAGCGTAGCACAACATTGTAAATCAGCTATACTTCAATTTAAAAAAGTCACCTATGTATTTCCCCTTAATTTTACTGCCTATAGGGCTACAGAGTCATAGAAGAAAAACTTCCAGTTATCAGGTCGGAAGAAGAAAAGGTCAGATTTGAACGGCAAAAAGCCTGGTGCTGCTCAACATTGCCAGAGCCTGCAATCTGTGGGATCAGCCGCATATGGGTGTTCAGCATGATGCGTCGGAAGAAAATCGCTTCTCGCATGATTGAATGCCTAAGGTAACTTGGATGTAATCCTTCAAGTCATTATCAGTAGTTTAGCATTTAAGCAGAGTTTTATATAAAGATTGACGTTTAGTTCATTGTAAATGTATAACCTTTATTTATATTAATTTAAAATTTGCATAAGATTGTTAGTATGTAAAAAGTATGGGAAAGTTCTTGGGAGTTTAGCTTTTAGGAAAAATTTGTCTTAATTTAAGAATAGTATTTGTAAATAATCTAAGTCTCTCAGTAGTTTTTCTTGATTTTATTCCTCTTTTTTCTTTTTTTTTTAAAGTATGAAATTATGATAACACATTTATAGGTTTGGAAAATACAAAACAAGGTTACATATATATTGCTTGATTTTTAATCAAAGGGATAGAGAAGATTCTGAAAATTACGTTTGTTTTTTTGTCTCGCATTTGCATATGAATTTTAGGACCAGTTTGTTAATTTTTGCAGAAAAACTCAACTATAGATCAATTTGAGGAATAATGCCATTTTAGCAATATTAAGTCATCTGACTCATAATCATGGGATGTCTTTCTGTTTACTAAGGTCTCCTTTAATTTCTTTCAACAATGCTCTATAGTTCTCATTTTTTAGGTCTTGCATGTCTTTGTTAGATTTAATCCTAAGTATTTACTTAGGTTACTGAGTATTTGCTATGTATTTCAGTATTGTTTTCTAAATTTTATTTTGAATTGGTCATAGAAGTAAAATTAATTTTTTAATATTTTATAATTTGCAAACTTGCTGAACTCGTTTTTTTTTTGAACTCATGTTTTATTAGGCCTATTATTTTGTGAATTCCTTAGAATTTTTGTATATAAAAGATCGTGTCATCTGTGAAAAGATAATTTTAACTTCTTCCTTTCCAACTTGGTTGCTTTTCATTTCTTTTGCTTGTCTAATTGTCCTTGATAATAGAAGAGGTATGAGCAGATGTGGCCTTACCCTGTTCCTGATCTCTGAGGAAGTTTTCAGTCTTTTTTTTTTTTTTTTAAACTATTAACTTTGATGTCTTTTGATGCTCTTTATCAGGGTTGAGGAAGTTCCTTCTATTCAGAGTATTTTTATCATGAAAAGGTGTTGGGTAAATGTTTTTATAACCATTGTTGCTTTTACAAAACAGTTATTTTTCAGTTTCTAGAATATACAACATTATTTGACAGGTTTTTCCACTTTTAATGATTAAAAATAAATTAATTTTCTTTTTTTACCTTCCACACCCCCCCCCTTTTTTTTTTAAACAGGAGTAACTTTATATATGGCTCATACTTGAGTAAAGAGGAAATTGCTTTCTCAGACCCTACTCCTGATGGAAAACTGTTTGCAACACAGTACTGTGGCACTGGTCAGTTTCTGGTATATAATTTTATTAATGGACAAAATAGTACCTAAAATAAACTCATGCCTATAGTATCAGAAGACATCTACTGATGAGAATGGATTGGTTGTTGACTTAAACCAGGAACTAGGGCCATTTTTATTACAGTGAACTCAGGACTGGCAACAACCATAAGGTTGTTCCATTTTCATAAAATTGGGGGAAAAAATGAAGTAATTGCTTATTGTTGTTTTGTTTTTTTAAAGAAGATATTTTATTATCTTTTACAGAAATTTATGATTGATGTATTTTATCTATAGTTATTTAGACATGTTTACATGCAGCAGATAATTGTTCATAGTGGACTGAAAACTAATGCAAGGACTATGGTCTCAGTGATAAGTATATTTTGAAGTTCTTAATTGTGGCAATATACCAGTGTAGCTTGGTACTGTATTTTTTTTATACTGATCTGCTGATACCAGTTATAGTTTTAAAGATTGTATTATCAGAGTGGAAACCAGTGTTTTTACATTATTATTCAAGAAGGGTGTGATGTTATGTGTTTAGGAATCAAAACTAATTCTTAAAGGGTCTGATACCTACTTTAAAGGAATCATCACAAAAAAAGCAAAGCTCCATTAGCAAGAGAGAATTTGAAATACTGAGTTTTTTCTTCTATTTCTCTTTTTCTGCTTCTTGCTGCCAATCAAGAAGCGGAAGGTGGAAAAGAATTAAAGCTTTCCTTCTTGGAGAACTATGAATGACTCGAGTTAGAATGGTGCCCTTTATTTATTTTTTCATTCTGGTTTCACTTTTTAAAATAAACATCAACTTGGCACACTTTGGCTATTAACAATCCCAAAGAGGTTTATAAAAACCTGTGGAATAGTTGCAAGCTAAATATGTATGACTTGGTATCTGCTTTGTTACTCCTCAGAAATACTACACTGGGTATATGCCCTCATATTGGACTTCATTTTGATACTTGTCTATCCTTCATAGTGCCCTCTACTTTTAAAGGGTTTATATGTTGAAAAACTGCTGTGGCCTTTTATGACTTGTATATAATGTAGAATAAAATAATAAAATACTTGATAGCTTTTTCTAAGTGATAAATGTGATAATGGTATGTTGTTATTGTGCTTTTTCAGGAAGTCTGTTAGGTTTGATACCTTGAAATAAGATTAAAACAGTGGCTTTTGAAAAGGTAGTTTTCACCAGTTTGCTGCAGAATCTGTATGTCAGTAACATCTCCAAAAGACAAGATACTAACATGGGATTTTTCTGGTCTTTCAAAGAAATAAAGAGCCATCATCCAAGTATGAAGCACCGCTATGATTTAATACAGGTGAAGGTTATGAGCTGACATTAAAACCAGCTAAAAATTAAGACTTTTAAATTAAGATTACAGGTGTGTGTGTGTGTGTGTGTGTGTACACACACATTATCAGCCATAGATGTGTGCTTTTAAAATTACTCGAGTGGTGTAAGGCTCTGTACCTGTCAGTAGGGTGGAATGGTAAGGCAGTGTGACTATTTCTTCTCATTCATCATGATGATCCAACTCTTGACACTGCTTTTCTTTTTGGTCTTGAGACTCTTCTAGTCATCCCTGGTCTCAATGTTTGCCTGACAGGGAACCAATGATTTTTTAAAAACAGGATGAAAACTTCAGGTGTAGCATAGATGTCCTAGTAACTGTTAAACTCATAATACAGGCCCAGTTCCCATATAAGCAATAGGATTCTTTGGGGAGCTATACTTGGTGGGTTTCAAAGGGACTTGGAAGTAGACAGGCTGTATTGGTAGGTTTAAAGATTGCCATTACTAGGAAGATTGTTTCTTTTGTGTTTATATTAAAGACACAGCCCCTCAAATAAATTTTACAATCTAGCTATTTCTCTAAGAATAGAATTATTAATAATATTTAACATTTGAGTGTTTGCCATGTGTCATACCTTGTGTTTGTGTTGTGCTTAATCTCTCAGTCATGTCTGACTCTTTGTGACCCCATGGACTGTAGCCCACAAGGCTCCTCTGTCCATGGGATTCTCCAGGCAAGAATACTGGAGCGGGTTGCCATGCCCTCCTCCAGGGGATCTTCCAGTCCCGGGATCGAACCCAAGTCTCCCACATTGCAGGCAGATTCTTTACCATCTGAGCCACCAGGGAAGTCCAAGAATACTGGAGTGAGTAGCCTATCCCTTCTCCAGGGGATCTTCCCAACCCAGGGATCAAACCCGGGTCTCCTGCGCTGCAGGCAGATCCCGTACCAGCTGAGCTACCAGGGAAGCCCTAGTGATGCCTTATTTAATTATCATGACAGCCATATAGGTAGAGTTTACAGATGAGGAATATAGAATTTAGACGAGCTTATAGTAGCAGCTGCAGTGTTTGTGAAAGATTGCAAATTGAACTAAAGCTATGATGTGTGGGTGAAGACTAGACAGATGAACTTTGAGAAGTTAAAATTGAAGAATTGATGGAGTTGATAACTGACTGGAGAAAGATCATGACAGGAGAATCTGGGTAGTTTTGGTTCAGGTAGTGGAGTAGGTGGATTTTTGGCCGAGAAGGGCATACTGGAGAATTAGGTGGGAAGATTGGATGGGGAAGGATGAATTTGGTTCTGCTCACAGTTTGAAGGTGGTTGCTGAATCTCCAAGTGGAGATATCTATTTGGTGTATATAACTGAACATCTAGACCTACAGTTTGGGAAAAGTTTGAACTAAACCAATTTATTTAGTTATTTGAAGATTTAGAGGAGATCTCCACCCTGGGGTTTATAAAATTAGAGGGGAGAAGAGACTGTTGAAGAACTTGTGAAAATGCACATGGAAGGGAAGAACCAGAAGAAAGTGGTAGAAACCAAGACTCAAAAGAACCGTCGATATTGTCACACCACAGCTGAAGACTGAAGAGCGACGACAGAAACAGAATCATGGTCTCTGTGGAGTTGTGGAGGTACCAGTGGATACAGTGAGTAAACACTAATGGTCACAAACATCAAAACAGATTGATTTTGTAATTGCTAATTATATAAAGGTGCCTATAAATGTTTTCTCAGCTACCCTTGAATAGTTGGTCTATTATAAGAATGTCTAGTATATTGACATTATAGGAATCACCAGTGTAGACAGACACCCTGCGATCTTATGCATTATGCTCATGTTTACGTGGACATACAGTGGTTTTATTACATTTTGTCAGTGTTATAAAAATCAGCATTTTATCAGTTTATAATGTTCAAGAGTGAACTTGATATATCTACTAAAACCATGACTATCATAAGAACAGTAAATACAGTAGACATACAGTGATATTTTAATTGTCACATACTTTGCATGGCTGCCTAGCTAGGGCATCTTGGTAGAAACACAGCCACATTCCTTCCTGGCTGTAGTTCACTGGCGGTTAAGGTGGTTAAATTGATTTCTGGGGTAGTGACTGCAGACACACATATGCCTTCTACCTGTTCTTATGGCTCTTGGGCTTTCTAGCAGACCAAGGGAAGATTCTGTCTTAGAACAGCAAAGAATTAGTAAGAAAACTTAATTGTTGTTGCTTTTTCTCTCTTAACTATTCCTATCCCATTTGCTGTCATAATCACTGAAGTACAGTTGACACTTGAACAACGTGGGGGTTGGGGTGCTAACCCCACACGTGGTCCCGAATCAGGTATAACTTTACAGTCAGCTCTTTATATTAGTGCTTTGTGTCTGTAGATTCAGCCAACCACGGACTGGGTAGTACTGTAGCACGTTTTTTTTAAATTGTGTATAAGTACACCTGTGAAGTTCAAACCTGTAGACTCTTTCCTCAGCTTAATACTTGACAGCTAAGACATAAGGAATTTACAGTGTTTCCTTGGCTCCAGAGGTCCTTCCTGCATCTTTAGTGATGATTTTTTGTTTTTGTTTTTTCAGGGAAGCCAGGGTTTCATTGTTTTATCAATATTCTCTTAGACCCAGAGGGAGCTTATGACCCAGTTGCCATGACTGAAGACAAACCTGAGGAATGTTTGTTCTCTGGATATTGTTCAGCTCTACGTAGTTGAATACAAAGGTACAGCAGTCAGTTTCACAGCTGTTAGTCTTTCCAAGGCAGCTCCATTGGAGTATGTAGTGGGACACTGGCAGTTTCCTACTTGCTCCTGAATCTGTCAGCATACTTAAAATAGTTACTGCTATTTTGTCAAAATAGTTACCCCTCCTGAGGTAACAGCCAGGGACCTCTGACCCTAAAGAATGTTTTTACGGTTCTATATCAAAGGCTGTTATTTTAGCACTGTCAATATAATAGAACTGAAAGGCATTTTCCCCCCCTGGAATAATAAGTTAATTCTCCAAAGTTGGTGAAATTAGAATTTAGAAATAAAATGGAGAGTAACCTTAGGTTATACTACACAATTCTACCGTCCCAAAGTCTGCTGCTTGGGACATGGAAATGAATATAGTTGCCATCTATAAAATAAAAGATTGGGGATGTACCATGGATATTTCTGACATCTCTTTAATAATTTCTAGATCTGTTATTCATAATTATGTGGCACTCTGCAAGTGGGCATGGTGTGTAGATACTTTATATGTGTGTATCTTCTTTGGATAAACTATAGATTTTCAGTCCACAAATACTTACTCAGCACTTTCTTGCACTGTTAAGCCAGAATAGTAGACTCTTAAAAGAGTTATCCAACCTATGACATGTGGACTTGTGGCCTTTCTTGGACATTGTGAAGAGCCAGCTCATTCCATTTTTGAACATACCAGAAAATGTAAAGAAAACACACTTCCTTTTTAGGGGGTGGGGGAGAATTTAATACATTCACCAAATTAAATGAAAGGACAAGAACATACTGTCGACGCAACTTAAGACAATTTAGAATCATAAACAAAATGTGAGGTAGACTGACTAGTGAAATTAACCAAATTTTGGTTAAGAAACTTTACAGTAATAAAGTAACACAGGTGCCTCCTTTTCTAAAAATCACAAGAAGCAATTGCATAAATTACAGCCCAAAAAATTGAATATAGCAATTCTCATTGTAAGTTTACATTCAGTATTAACCTGTGTGAACCCTCACACATGGCAGGGTTTAACAGGTCTATAGGTCAGTTATTCTGCAGGCCAAGTGAACACATTCACACCACGATATTCTAAGGGCTGGCGAGGCTCAAAGTGGAACACACCAGGGGTTGTATTAACCAAATCATGGTGTTCTGTGCTTGTGCAATTTTATCCTTAAAGGAGAATGACCTAACATTCTCTAAAGAATTATACTGATAAGGTGATTTTAAAAGATCCAAGCCTTAGTAAGACAGACACTGAAAAGAATAGGCAGGTCAGTTTAAAATCTCCATCATCAGGGTGATGATCTTTTGGCTTTATTCTGGCATTTCTCTTCCACAGAGTTAAACAGCATTTAAGAGATCATAATCATCTGATTTTTTTCAGAGTATAATCCTAACAAATATGGAGTCTCCACAGCTCAAATAAGGACTTAAAAACTTTTTCCTTAGACTGAAGCCATAAAGCCAGAAGAAACCCTGAGAGGCCATCTGCCCCAGGAACAGCTGTTTTAGGATTATTTCAAGTATTTTATTTGCCCTATATAGTAAATATTGGAATATTGCACAAACAGTGGGTTTCTTGATATCATCTGCAGTAGGCCCTTCAATAAAACAAGTGAAATACATTCATATCTAAATCAGCCTGCTTCGGAACATACCTCTTTGCCAGTTCTGCTGTACTAAAATTAACAAGTATTTTTAAAGCATATATAAGGCAGGTCCTCTTTAAAGATCAATTAAAAATGGAATTTTTAAAAGGAATTGTTCATTTTAAGATACATATAAAACAAAAATAGCTATTAAAACCAAGAGATCTGAAATCATTTTCAGATTAGTACATTCCATCTTTTCACTCTCTGTAAACTCTGTATCACAAACTAGTAAAGCTGGTCAGGTAACACTATTTGTTCTGAGTGAATGCAGACTTAGCAGGCCCCTCTCGGTAGTTTCAGGCCATAAACAAAACATCTATTCAAGTAAAAATGGCTGTGTAAAGTGGAGATAAAGTGAAAGTGATATATGGGCTAATAAGAAAAATGTCAAGCCATCAATGAGAACTGAAGTAATTCGGAAGAATTAACTTCCAATAAACTTAGTATGTTCTAGAACATTTTATAGAAATCCGTTTTTGATTAAAATATGTGGTAAAAAAGTCTGTATAAATTTATGCCTCCTACTGTTGATACTGAACAAAGATCCCCTGCTGATTTTTGAGTCAAAAAGACTTAAATGGAATTCTTCTTTACTGCACACACACACACGCACACGCACGCACACTCACTCACCCACTCACTGGTAGAATTAAGTAAAACAGCCTCTTTCTCTCTATGGCTCTGTTTCCCATTACAGCAGTTTCTGTGGTATTGTCAGTATAAGGCAGCTCATTCAGTGTATCTTTGAAAGGAAACTCTGCTTTAGTCTTTGAAAGGAAACAAACTAGTTCCACTCCACATAGAAGCTTAGCCTGCCTGACATTTAGCTTTGCTGGTGCCAACTGCTTAATTCCAACCCAATGGAGTGGGTGTGGGGTGACTGCTGAAACCTTCTTAATTGGCTCAACTTTTGAATCAGGTTTTCCTTGTACAAGATTAATCACTGTTCATATTCTCACAGGCATGATGTGCTTAAGAGACTGGAAACATTTTTAAAGAATGGATAAAGCAAAAGAACTTAAGCCAGGAGAAGCTGCATAAATACACACAATGCCTGCTCTGCATTTACTAATGTGTTTGTTCAGTTTAAATAGTAAACTTTCAACTCCTGTGGAAATTTTGCCAAAAGTTTCAATACATACAAGATTATAAATCATAAACTAACACTGCACAGAGAAAGACAAGGCTACTTTTTTTTTTAAATACAAATATCTTCTACATTCTATCATTTCAGACCCCTGAGTAATACTGTACCAAAGTACAGATCTGAAGAGAAACTGAGGGCTCAGGCCTCAAACGTTAATCTTCAATTAATTCCACACCAATGGCGTGAGTCTTCACATAACACATTCAGGCTAGCTAACGCCAAGAGTCAGTTTTCCCCCTCACAGAGCATAGTAGAAAAAAACAACGCAGCGTCCATGCGGTTTCTCCAAAGTATTTCCTCCTCAGGCTCCCGTGGGCAGACCACATCTTGAGTTAATTGCATAACTACCTAGGGTGAAGTTAACCTGAATTTTAAGGTCCTGAAACTGGAAGTGAAGGAAAGTGATGCCCCCCAGAGATCTGGGTCAGATTTGGGGGTGGGGGGTTTCTTTGGAGAACAGACAAATACATGTTGCACTTTGCTCCACAGTGATTGTACTTTAAAGGAAAAAATAAAATCCTCAATAATTATTTCTGCCCCACCCCATCTAGGCATCCCTCTGCTAGTTTTGGTCTCTTCAAAAGGTCATACGTGACGTCCGGTGAGAAAGTAGAGCGGCTTGTCGTCGCTGCTGTTGGCGGTCTGGAACTCGTCCCGGAGACGGAACTGCCACTCGTCCTCCAGCTCCAGGCGGACAATTGTCTGGCGCAAGGAGCTTCTGTCTTGGCAGACGACACATAGGGTAGCACCTTCATGAGAAAGCAGGGGTGTGTCTTAAGCTGAGGGGTGAAGGGACTTACAGAGCTTTTCTTACCTCCCTCTGATCATATCCCCTAAGCGAACACTTTTTGAGAACCAACGTATAAAAGTAACCTGTCAGGACTGTTCATTTGATTATTTACTTTGAATAAAGAAGCTATTACAAATGCCAAAGTTTGAAAGAGTGTAAAGTGAAAGTCCTCCCAACCGCACCCACCCCTTCTGCTGTGGTGTGTGTGTGGGTTGGTTGCTCAGTCGTGTCCAACTCTGCAACCCCGTGGACTTTAGCCCACCAGGCTCCTCCGTCCATGGAATTCTCCAGGCAAGAATACTGGAGTAGAATGCAATTCCCTTCTCCAGGGGATCTTCCCGATCTAGGGACTGAACCCAGGTCTCCTGCATTGCAGGCGGACTCTACTGCTGAGCCACTGGGGAAGCCCTTCTGCTGTGGTAACCAGCATTAAAACCCACGTTATAAGGTTCTGTGGGTTCCGCTAAGAGCAGGGGTTCTCAACCTCGGCACTGGGGGCCACATAACTATTGTGGGGGCTATTTTGTTCTTGTAGTATGTTTAGCAGTGCCCCTGGCTTCTTCCCACTCTGTGCCAGCAACACCCCATCCTGTGACAACATGAAATGTCTCCAGATATTGCCAAATGCCCCAGGATGCTTCCTCCTGTTTCCCCCACACACACACACATGCACACAGCTCCAGATGTGTTTTATACACACACATATAAGTAAATACAGTTTCTCCTGTTCCCATAAAAATGGCACGCTGTATACAACATACTGAAGCTTTTTTCACCAACCTCAGGAGTCACCTTATCAAGATTATTTGTGATGCTTAATCTGCACTTTGTTTTTAAGCAAACCTCTGTATGCTCCATACCTGTTGAAGCAACTTTGGCTTCTATTCCAGAATTATTACTCACTAATTTTTTAGATTTATATGAGAAGCATTTGCATTGCTTCATTCCTAGGTAAAATTAATAGTGGTGACAACATCTTTAAACCTGGCTATATTTATCCGCATTTAGCCTAACTCCCTTGTTTGAAAAAGTCAGTGCCCCAGTTTCAAAGGAAGGTATTCAGTTTATTGGCAAAATGATTGTTAAAGTGCTCTTTTATAATTTTTCACCTCTGCATTTTGTACAGTGGGAACTAATAGCACTCACAAGCAATATACTGAATTTGATTTACCTTTGAGAAACTTAAATTTCTTAAGAAGATCAGCACCTACAAAAGAGTCACAGAGGTACAAGAGGAGTCCACCGAAGCACACCCCTTCACAGTTGACGTTGCTGGAGTGGGGTCTGGAGCTGATGTAGCATACGGCCACCTGCAACCATCAAGCACAGAGCGCGCACACTAGCATTTCAAAAACAAGCAAAACCTCTGCATCATCAGCTGAATGATCCGTGCCTCCTGTTCTCGCTGTCCATCTCAGGGTCAGGTGCCAGGGACATGTCTTATTGGAACTTAAAGGGGCTGCTTATCTGAGCTGTGTACTCTGTGTGTGTCAAGTTTTACCTACCTAAAGCTTCTCTTATTTCTCATAATAAAGGGCAGTTATGAGAGAAACTGCCAGATGCAGAACAAGCCCCTCTACCTGAGAGCCCTGGCCCCTCCCCCTTTACCTCTGGTCCAATGTTAAGGTAGCAGTCGATGGCCAGCACGGGGCTCCGAAAATTACGGATAGCTTTGGGGAAGAGTTTGTAGGAGGCATGCTGCAGGAACTTCTCCAGGAGGAACTGTGCAGGGGCTGCCAGAAGGGTGTGCTCACTGTCGGGAGCACAGACGTACTGTAGGGGCAGGATGGGCGCCACGCTCTCTGACACCTGGAATCAGAGCCAAGGGAGTGATGGGAAATGTTTCCGCCAGCATTGTGTGACCCCCGCGAGGAGAGCATGCCTGCATCCTGACAGCCCGCAGGAAAGGCAGAGGCACCGTCTGTCATCCTTGGGTTCTGAAATTCTTCCTTTGGATTTAACATAATTTATACATAGCAAGGGCCTGAGCAAATGTTAAAGGAGGCTTCTTTGAAAGCTTGCACATTTAGCATGTACTTTGTAAGGACCAGAGAAGGCAATGGCACCCTACTCCAGTACTCTTGCCTGGAAAATCCCATGGGCAGAGGAGCCTGGTGGGCTGCAGTCCATGGGGTTGCGAAGTCGGACACGACTGAGCGACTTCACTTTCACTTTTCACTTTCATGCATTGGAGAAGGAAATGGCAGCCCACTCCAGTGTTCTTGCCTGGAGAATCCCAGGGATGGTGGAGCTTGGTGGGCTGCTGTCTATGGGGTCGCACAGAGTCTGACATGACTGAAGCGACTTAGCAGCAGCAGTAGCAGTTGTAAGGACCAACAGAAACCTTTTTACAGCACTACAGGATGTGGGTGGGTTAAATCCCATCCCGTCAGCACCAGAAAAAAAACCAAGGAGGTCTTTAAGCTCCACTGAATAGTCCACATGCTATAAATGATTGTGCATGCCCAGTTGAGTCCATCTTTTCCAACTCCATGGACTGTATCCTGCCAGGCTTCTCTGTCTATGGGATTTCCCAGGCAAGAATATTGGAGTGGGTTGCCATTTCCTTCTCCAAGGCATTTTCCCAGCCCAGGGATCAAACCTGTGTTTCCTGCATTGCAAGCAGATTTCTTTACTGCTGTGCCACCTGGGAAGCCCTGTACATGATTAGCTACCAGCAAGTCTTTTAAATGGAAAAGGGTAGGCCCATAGAATTAACCCTTAACAGGTTTTGAACTGCCTTACTTTAAAAATAAAACTGGCAAAGGACCATGCAAGCAAGCAATTTGATTTACATTTCTCTCACCTGTTACGTAAAGAATGTAAAAAATATTAACTTCGCCAGTTTATAGGACACATCTGAAACTAAAGCTTTGATGGAGTTAAGCCTTAAATCTAAAGAAAGGTAGTTCTGTTGAATTTTCAAGACTTACATTTGGCTCTAGATGAGTCCTCAGTGAGGGAAACCAGGCTCCAGATTTGACATTAAGAATGGCCTCCCTGTTCCAGAAAAACCACTACAATATTGTAAAGTAATTAGCCTCCAACTAATAAAAATAAATGGGGAAAAAAAAGAGTGGTCTCCCTTGTGTTACCTCACTCTCCAGTCAAGTGGCACGTACTTAATGCCAGTACCAGACAACAGATACTGAGAGATCATCTAATTTTCAGCAGGAGACTCAAGCTTGCCAACTTACCATGATCTTTGGTTTAATGATAAAGTCCCTCTGCCCACCAACTTGCACATGTTTCTTCATGAGACTGAAGTTGTTAAAGCGACAGATGAGCAGTCCACTGCTGTTCGTTCTCAGGTTAAAGTCAACATCTTCACAGAAGTACCTAAATTAGAACCACAACGGTAGGTTCCCTTAACTGTCGCCTCTCAGCTGTGCTACTTACAGAGACAACATCTGTGGCAGATGTTAGGTGGCCAGCTCAAACAGAGCCGGCTCTGTGAACACTGGCTTATGCTGTAATGCCCTGATGGGGCACTGCACTCATTAAGGCAGGTGTGGCTGGTCCCAGACATGGCACAGCACCTTACTTAGGTGCCCCTGAACTGAAAGAGGCCCACACACTCTGTAGGCTTTCGTGGGACAGGAATGCAGAGCTGCCCCCGGTGTTAACATCCTGGCTGCAAACAGGATGAAACATTGCCAAATTTAAAACAGAAGTGAAATCGCTACAGAATATTCTAAGAGCTGCAGCTCGGGGTTGACATAAAAGGGACTTGACGGTCTCTGACATTCTTCCTTGGCCATTTCAGATTTTCTGGGACATGTGCATAGTTCATTCAGGAGGCAAGGCTAAGGCTAACTGGCTTTTCCCTACAGGATCCAGATCTCAGGGTCTTGCTAACATCTCAGGAAGTGACTACCTCTTGAGTTCTGAGGGCGAGTGAAAGGATAATTGTGAATAGGTTTATGGGTCCACACACTGATTTCCATTGATGAAACAATTTGGTCCCTGTTTCAGTTCTTGTGGAATAAGAAGACAGCCGAAATACGTTTCCTAAGCATTTCACATTGCAGCACTCGTGACTGAGTTTGGTCAGTTTGAACAGTGATGAAGGGGCACTTGGGGGCTTGTGATCCCCCATCCTCTGTCCGTATAAATAGAGTCTTGGTTTCTTAGAGACAGGAATAAACACATTACAAAGGCTGGAGCTGGGCAGAAAGAGTCAGTAACCGGCAGGATGATGCGTGTCCAGGAGCCCACCTTACCTGTTGAAGTCATACTGCACGTTCTGAGTCAGGTCTATGTTGAGGAGGATGAAGTCGTGCACGTGGCACCTAGAGAACGGGACCTTGAGGCTCCGAGAAGTCAGCCTGCTGCTCCACTTCTGGATGCCCAGGATTGCGTAGTGCACGATTTTCGGTGTCGCCTCCATGTGCTGCAAGACACTCTTCAAGGACACATTCTTACTGGAAACTCCTGTTTCCAAGGGCTGGCTATGAAATGCAGAGTTCATTTACATAAGAGATCACTCAGTATCACTGAAGACATGGTCACTTGCGAAGAGCTGACACTACTGTACATTATTAATATCTATAAAGGACACAACTCGCTGGTTGACTTTCTCTTCGTCTGGAGTGGACAAGGATGTCAAGCCTGGTTTTCACAAATGCCACCTGTCACAGCTGATCTAAAGAAGCTGCCTTCCGGAGGTCAGCATCCTTGTGTGTGTCTGACTCTGCTACCCTGTGGACTGGAGCCTGCCAGGCTCCTCTGTCCTGTAGTTTTCCAGGCGAGAATACTGGAGTGGGTTGCCATTTCCTCCTCCAGGGGATCTTCACGACCCCGGGATCAAACCTGCACCTCCTGCACTGTCAGGCAGGCTCTTTACCATGGAGCCACTGGGGCAACCCCTTGGGGTGCAGCTGACCCCTTAAAGGCAGAGAAGGAAACCTGGCCCATTTTCAAGGTGAGTAATGAACAGGGAGTTACCAAAGAGAGGTAGCCAGAGGTTAGAAGCACACAGGTACTCTTCCCAGTCCTGGTGATTATAGTATAATAAAGGAATATTTCTCAATGTCCCTGGCTTCAAATCCACCAGGGAAATGAGGGCACAGGACCACAACGTCTGAGCTGGAAGGGCCTTGAGGTCATGTGGCACAGTGTTTCACTGGGGCCTTGAACATCTGGGCTCATTTACTGCATAGGACATCTCCAGCTTTAGCATTTCACGGTCCTCATGGATCTCCTCACCACTGCCCCAGAAGGAGAACCATGGGTTTTGGCCCAGCCATCATTTTATAGGGAATAGAATTGAGACAGAGATGGAATAACTTTCCCTTTTCATCCAGACAGGAAGCAGAGCTGGGGCTAAAAACTGGTCTGATTTAAAAGCCAGTGGTCTTTCTAAATAAAGCACAGTGTCTTTCAGCAGACCAAAGCTGCGATAACACAGACAGTCCAGGAATTGAATGGCATACCAAGTGTCTAGATAAAAAACTTCCTACGTCACCACAGACTGTGCTGCTAAGAGTAAGTGGTCTCGGGTGGTGGCTCTGCTCTGGGAAGCTGTGCCCCTCGTTTACTTTGCCGTGCCATGATGGCCAAGGAGAGGACCTGCTCAGTGGCACGTGTCACATCCTAGAACTGCACAGAACCGCTCCTACCTGGTCTGCTCCTGGACGCTGTGAATGTTCCACAGCACACACGAGTCATCCATCACGACGATGAAAGGCCAGACACACTGGCGTTTAACTCCCAGCTCTTCCAGGCGATTTCTCTCCAGCTCCAGGTTGTGATACGACAGCTCCTTAATGAGGAACCTGGCAGCACCTGGAAGGCAACACCAAAAAGGCTCGGACGTTCCCCTCGGGCTTGGTGGAGGCCCCACAGACACGTCGCATTCTCTCCACACGTATGCGTATTCGCCTGGTGACTGTACACATGGGGGTTGACCAGACATCCAGGGCAGTGATTCCCACACATCAGTGCAGGCAAGAATCATCCAGGAAATTGTTTAAAATGCAGATTCCTGGAACCCACCACCAGAGGTTCACACTAGTGTCTGATGAGGGGCCAGAGACCTTTTCACAGGTGATGATGAACTGCACTTTGAGGAGTGTTGCTAGAATCCAGTTTTCCTGCCAGGACAAAGGCTACCACATAGAGGAAATACTGCTCGTTCTTCAGAGCCAGGATAAGAGGCTCCCTCAGTCTCAGCAGCAGCCAGGGCTGCACTATGGGTATGTCACTTACACTAAAATGTCCCCTGTTGTAGGTCCCTTTAGGAAATTGGCAGCAGTGTCTTTTAAGAGAACTCTGGAAACTGGTATCCTTTCCCTGGTGTGTAAGAGGCATATGATATAGTGAATAAGAGAGAAGACTAGAGCCAAGCCCTTAGGTTTGAATTCCAATTCTACTATTTTATAGCTGTGAGATGGTGAACAGGTAACTCCCCTGTGCCTAGACTTCTCCTCCTGTAAGAAGGCGATGATAATGTCTACTTCATAGGACTGTTGATGGTGCTCAGGACAGTGCTGCACATGGTAAGTGAGTACTCAGTGTTAGCAATTAAGATGATGACCATCAGGAATTAGCCAGGTTTTATGAGTGGGCCACCCTAAATTGAGGCTTCTCTAGTGGCTCAGACACTAAAGTATTTTCCTGCAATGCCGGAGACCCGGGTTCAATTCCTGGGTCAGGAAGATCCCCTGGAGAAAGGAATGGCAACCCACTGCAGTATTTTTTTTTTTCCACTCCATTATTCTTGGAGAATCCTGTGGACAGAGTAGCCTGGTGGGCTACAGTCCATGGGGGTCACAAAGAGTCAGACACAACTGAGCGACTAACACAGACCCTAAAATGAAACTAAACATAGAAATAAAGAAGCTAAAAAAACCCCAATTAAGTATGGAGGAACCAGGAAAACAGTTTGAGTAGATGGAGGGTGATGTTAGGGTTTAGGAAAATCTACTGACACCTTTCAAGAGCACTGTGTGTAATACTCTGCATTATAAGGGCATGTATGAAAAAGCCCCCAGCTAACATACTCAGTGGTGAACAACTGAAAGCTTTTCCTTTAAGATCAAGAATAGTAAGACGAGGATGCTCAACTTTACCACTTTAACATAGTACTGAAAATCATAGCCAGAGAAATTACACACACACATAAAAGTCACCCAAGTTGGCAAGAAGTAAAATTACCTGTAGACATGACCTTATGTGTAGAAAACCTTAAATATTATACACATACACATGTTAGAATAAATTCAGCAGAGTTGCAGACAAAAAACAACACAAATTAGCTGTGTTTCTATATAATAACAATAAACAATCTAAAAGGGGAATTAAGAAGTGCTTCATTCTCATCAAAAAGAATACTTGGAATACATGTTCAACCAAGGAGGCTAAAGACCAATACACTAAAAAGTACAAAACACTGCTGAAAGTGTTTCCAAATAAGTGGAAAGACATGTTCATGGACTGGAAGGTGCAATACTGTTAACACATCCCACAAAGCAATCCACAAATTTAATACAATCCCTATCAAAACATCAGACTTTTGTTAGAAATAGAAAAATTCATTTTTAAATTCACATGGAACTTCAAAGGACTCTGAATCAGCAAAACAATCTTCGAAAAAGAACAGCAAAGCTGGAGGCCTCACACTTGACTGATTACAAAACGAGTAATCAAAACTGTAGCAGTGGCATAGAGATAGACTAATGGAACAAGAATACAGAGCTCAGAAACACACTTGCATATATAGTCAAATGATTTTTGACAGAGGTGCTAAGACCATTCAAATGCAAAACAACGAAGCTGGACTCTCACCTTATGCTGTATAAAGAAATCAAAATGGACCAAAGAGCTTTTATAAAACTCTTAGAAGAAAACATAGGGGAACACTTAATGATACTGGTTTTGGCAATAGTTTGTTGATTTGTTGGCTATGACACTAAAAGCATAGGCAACAAGAGGAAAAAATAAATTGGACTACATAAAAATTTAAAAGTGTGCAAAGAACACATTCTCCTATAGTATAGGAGAAAATATTTACAAGTCTTATCTGATAAGGGGTAAAAATCTAGAATATACAAAAACTCCTAAAAGTCAACAACAAAAACCTCACTAAAAAATAGATTCTCCAAAGAAGATACACAAATGGCCAGTAAGCAAATGAAAATATGATCAACATCACTAATCATTAGGAAAATGTAAATCACAAGATACCATCACACACCCATTAGGTTGGCTACTAACAACAGCAAAAATTCCCAGAAAACACAAGTGTTATCGAAGATATGTTAAAACAAACCATTTTACATTGTTGGTAAGAATGTACAAGCCATTATGAAGAACAGTATGTCAATTCCTAAGAAAAAAGTGGATTAAGCAATTCTACTTTGGGGTATATACCCACAAGAACGGAAAGCAGGGTTTTGAGATTTGTGTTCATGTCTACAGCAGCATTATTCACAATAGTCAGAAGGTGAGGAGCAGACCAACGGTCCATTAGTGGATGAATGGTAATAAAAATGGGGAGTTAAGCTTTGATGTTACTGAGTCGGTTTTGCAAGATGGACAAGCGTTCTGGAGACTGGTTGCACAACAGTGTGAATGTACTGATGAATGCTGAACCGTACACTTAATGGCTAAATTTTGTGCTGTTTATCAGTTTTTTAAAAATGCTGCTTCATTTGCATATATGTTGGTTTCTCTTCCCAGATGATTACAAAAATGGCAAAACTGACACTAAACAAATTCACTCAAATATGGGATAAGGAAATATTTTCTCCTAAAGGTCAGTTGGGCATGGAAAGGTGTGAAGATCATGTAAATATAGAGAAAGATTTTAGTTAAGTTTGGGGATATGTTTTGGGGAAGGATAAAGGACCAGAAATATGTGAAAGTCTTAAGTCATTTGATGTTAAGTGATGGGAAATAAAATTACATTAAAAATATAAACCTGTTTGGAAAATACTTTAATTGATATTAAGGCTAAAACTTAAGGAAATGAAAAGGAATGAAATGGAGAACAAGAAAGGAAGAGCCTTAAGAAGGAAAGGGGAGAGAGAACTGGAGAGAGGCCCATGTGGATCCAGGGCACTACTCGGGTCTTTTCTGCCTTCACTCCAGCAGTGGGCTCTAAAGCTCTTGATCCTCAGCCCTCCTGAAGCTCTGCCTCGAAATTCCCACTGAAGCCGATGGGAAGTGAGTGAGATGCAGGGAGTGGGCAGACGGCAGAGCTGTAGGACACTGGATCCAGTTAGGTCTCCTGCCTTCAGGGGCTAACGAAGGAGCTCTGGACCTCTCTCTCTAGTTCCTCCTCCCGCTCTGTCAGCACACTCAACAGCCAGGTGTCCCCTTGAGAAATCAGCCCACTGACCTTAAACCCCGAGGGGAAAAAGAGGAAAGACTTCCAGGAACTGTTAAGATGACTGCCATCGGCAGTGATGATGCCTCCAGTCCCCAGCTGTACAGAACCCTGAGAACTTGCTGTGTGCCTTTAAGATCAGCGGTGACCCCCAGAGATCCCTCCAGACCTGGGTCTGAACTGCTAACTCCCCTCCTCCTCTGACTGTCCTCCTTTCTGTGAGGTCCCTGCTGCCAGCTGGGAGCGAGCAACACCTGCAGCCTGTGCTGCCCAGAGTCCCAAGCCCTCCCAGGGTGCTCAGTGTATCAGTGACTTCTTTGGATGCTAGTCCTCAGAAGTTAAAAAATTCTGCAAGACTGCAGATAAAGAGAAATGAAAACTCATTTAAAGAGGAGTCAAGGGCTTCCCTAGTGGCTCAGTGGTGAAGAGTCTACCTGCCGACGCAGGAGACACGGGTTTGATCCCTGATCGGGGAAGATCCCACATGCTGAGGAGCAGCTAAGCCTGTGAGCCTGTGCTCTAGAGGCTGGGAGCCCCAACTACTGAGCCCACGTGCCGCAACCACTGAGGTCTACGTGCCCTAGAGCCCATGCTCCGCAACGAGGAGTAGCCATGGTTAACCACAACTACAGAAAAGTCTGCACAAACCAAGAGCCAGCCCGGCCAAAAATATTTTTTTTTTTTAAAGAGTCAANAAAAAAAAAAAAAAAAATAGAGTCAAAAGTTCTTTGGTCCACAGAACAAGACACTTTCCAGGGTCACGGGACCCTCTGGAAGCCTGAGGAATGGAGCTTGGTATTTCTCTTCCCAGCCCTTGCCCGGCGTCCCGCGCACCCCCTTACCCACGCCTGCATTATTGAACATGCCAGGAAGCACCAGCATGATGTGGTTGGGCCAGTATTTGCGGTACAGCGGCATCTCATACTCTTTGACCACCAGCAGGTGCAAGTGGCTGATGCCCTCCATGGCGTGAAAGAGGTTCAGAAGTCCGTGCTCGTGGCGACCGCTGGAGGGGGTGAAGATAGGGCTCTTGACCACGTTCAAATTCTGCTGAAAGGAAAAAAAAAAAGGACCAGAGGCCAAAAAGAGAAATTAGAACCCTTAGATACTAGCCGCTTCTAAAACTGGCTCTAGGACCTGAGGCCGGCCGGCCTGCCTCCAGGCGCCGTCACCCACCTTGTCTGAGACCAGGGGCAGCCGCATGCTCTCCAGGTGCTTGCCCTGCTTGCTGAAGACAAAGTGACTCTCTTTGGATTTGGGGATGATGAAGTAGAGCTGCACCTCTTCTCCCAGCATGGAGGACGAGAACGTGAAGGCGTGGAGGGTGGAGTCGGACATCTGCGTTTGCAGAGAGCAAAACGAGGGCATGTAAGCTCACAGTTGGCAAGCTTCCAGGCTGCTCATCTCAAGATGGTTCTTGATAGAGGCCAGCTATCCTGGACTTCTACCTCCTGCCAGACCTGGCTATGCAGGCAGAGTCAGAAAAGGCAAACGCTTCATCTTTTAGTGGCTGACACAGGATCCAAGCATCTCACCCCAAACAGCCTCTCTGAGGGTGGAGCAGTGACTGCTGCTGAAAACTACACCTTCTCACCTTCTTAGAACCACTACTGGTCAGCCCTGCAGAGGTCCAGTATACCTCTGGGAGGTCTTGCTATGCAAACACTCCCAAAAGCGCCCAGTTACGGGGGAAAACGCTTCTCTGTGCATGCGTGTGTGTTTAAGTTGCTTCAGTCGTCTCCAGGTCTGCGACCCTTTGGACTGTAGCCCACTGGGCTCCTCAGCCCTTGGGATTCTCCGGGCAAGAATACTGGAGTGGGTCACCATGCCCTCCTCCAGGGGATCTTCCTGACCAAGAGATCCTCTTCTGAGTGGGTCAGGTCAAATGATATTTTTCCTAAATAAACTATTAAAACTGACATCATTAAAACACCCCTGTGGGCTCATCTTTCTGGCTACACTGGAAGCAAAAGATGTCTGAATGGTCACTTACCCTAGAACTCTGGCCTCCAGAAGACCTTTGACTCATTCAAACCACATACAAATCTAATCTCTTTTTTAAGTTGCTGGAAAGTTCACACACTCTCATAACCCACCTCAGTGAATAATTATATAAAGGTCTTTACAATGCAGACAATATTTGGCCTAATGAAAAGAGAGTGTCACTAGTCAGCAGGCTCGAGAAGAATCCAGGTAGCCTTCCCGAGAGGTTCAACCTAAGTATTACATTTCATAGAAAAATAATATTGTAATACTCCCATTAAGATCTCCTTCATTCTGCTTCACAAGTATCAGGCAGTACTGTAATCACACAGAAACTAAGTAGAAGGTTTTTAATATATTGTCTAAAAAATGAATTTTCTAATGATTTATAGATCAGGGGCTTGTATCATCTATATTCCATAAAGCATTGTGAGCTGATTCCAAACAGTCCACTGAAAGTTTTCAATGACACAGGAAAACATTTGGGGTATGAAAGGTAACTTCTATCAGAAGAGCAGAAAGACCAGTACATCCTTCTGAGTTCCCTGGGGGAAAATGCAGAAGACCTGGTCCTCAAGAGTAGAAGCAAGTCTAGAGAGGAAGTGGGGCGTCCACCTAGCACATCCTATAGAAAGGACGAGTTGTTCCAGATGTTCAGGGCCAAGCACTAAAGGTCAAGAAGATAAAGTGGGGGAGCAACATGGCGCTCAGCCCCCACACAGGCGCTGGATGCAACCGTCACTGGCTGCCCTTCCCATTGTCTGTGCTTAAAGATGCTCTGGCCAACGAGAAGCTCAGTGCTATGGGGTATTTGCTCACCTCTATTTGCTCACCGGGTAATTGTTCCACCTCTCAGTGCTCTCCAAATAAAAAGGCACACACTGACTCCTCTGTATGCCTAGTGGTCAAAGCCACCCTACGCTGGAGTAAGAGTGAGACTGGGTCTGTGCAAATCACAGCTCACAGGGCACACCCTATGGACTTGCAGATAATAACACCATCTTCAACAACCCGAAGGAGGGGAAGAGACCCTTTTGCCAAACATTACTGTAATATCCAGCTTTTTCAGAATCACAGACATACCAGTTACTTTCTAATCTAAACATATGGAACCATTTGATGAACTGACTTCAGACACAAATTCCATTTCTTTCTCTCCCCTGCCCAACTCCCCTGCCTATAATCCCAATAAACCCAAAATCATTTTATCAACTGCTTCATGCATTCATGCAGTGGCTCCATCTCATAAATAAGCTATCCTTGGAAGTTCCCTGGTGACAGTGGTTAAGAATCCGCCTGCCATGCAGGGGACGGGGGTTAGATTCCTGGTTGGGGAACTAAGATCCCACAGCCCTCAGAGCAGCTATAAAGGCCATGGGCTGCAACTACTGAAGCCTGCACTCTCTGGAGCCCATGCACTGCAACTTCAGAATCTGTTCGCAGCAATGAAAAGATCCTGCATGTGGCAACTAAGACCCGACGCAACTAAATACATATTTTTTAAAAACCAAACAAGCCATCCTTTGTCTAGGGCTTGAAGCTGGGGCTTTGCCTCTCTCACACACAGAACCCACGCCGGGTAACAGGCAGGAGCATGGGCGCGGCACCTGGGAGGCAGAGGTGAAGTCCATGTACTGGTGGCACTGCTCACAGTGGTGGAAGGTGTTGTAGGCCGCATACTTGGTCAGCATCATGGACATAGTCTCTCGTTTCCGGGGCTCCTCAGCTTTGGGTTCCTTTATCGCTTCTGTGTAAAAAGAGACAAAACACCCTCCCATGCTGTGTGTGAAGACTCTATGCCTGGGCAGAAAGTCCCCCACCCCTAGAAGGGCTTTTCCTAGGATTCTGCAGTTTATGCCCTGAGAGGCAGATCTGAAAATTTTCAAGGTGACCTTGCTGTTGTTTAGTTGCTAAGTCAAGTGCAACTTTTGCAAACCCATGGACTGTAGCCCACCAGGCTCCTCTGTCCGTGGGATTCTCCAGGCAGGAATACTAGAGTAGGCTGGCATGCCCTCCTTCAGGGGGATCTTGCTGACCCAGGGATCAAACCCACGCCTTCTACATTGGCAGGCGGATTCTTTGCCACTGAGACACCAAGGAAGCCCAAAAGGTGACATTCATGTGAATAAAACGAGACATGCAGAGGAATATGATTTAAGTTGCTCTCAAGGAGTAAACTGCCCCAGGTTTCCTGCCCTCATTTAGGTGAACCCTCGACCTTCAGGCTCCACGTGCACTGACCTTGTTTGACCCCTGCCAGCTTCTCAGTATATACCAGGCTCATCAAACTGTACTTGGGGTCGTGCACGCTGACGTCAAAGGGCATTTTACTGAAGCTCTCGATGTCAGGCCAGGGTTCACCTTCTGACTGGCTCACTTCACTGCTTTCACTGTGATCTAGGCCAAGAAGGAAAGTGCACAGAGCAGCCCGATCAGACTGACTGGCCACACTCCCTCCCTCTCACCCAAGTGTCAGGGAAACATACAGCCCAGGTGGGTGGACAAAGACCTTTCTGAGAAATGAGCTCCCGAGGCCAGAGGAGGGGGGTGCAGACTGTCCTTCAGACCTGCTGGGAGGGATGCTGGCCCTCACTGGTCCCCATTAGCTTCTACACCCCCAGCCCCAAAACTCCCAAGTCTAAGAGATCTACTGGTCGCCCACGCCTGACCCCCAAGTGTCCTTAAAATCTTATTTAACTTTGGATGAACTGAATCCTATCACAAGAGTTTTAGTTGTGGGGTTTTAAGATGCTGACAGCTGAAAGGATTTCAGGGGCTCATTGAGCAAGATTCAGCGTCTGTTGCTTATTAGAATCCACTGGAGCTTGTAAAACCCCTGTGCTCAGGCCACATGGCCCAGAACCACCTTCCTTACTTAGGCACTTGTGTTTAAAGCTCCTTCAGTGGTTCAAACATGCAAACCAGGTTGAGAGCCTGCGGCCTTTGGTTTGAGTCCAGGCCACGGCCCCTGCCAACCTTGTGACTTCACACCTGCCAGCACCTTCATTTCTTAGGGTTCCCTGATTGTTTTAAGAAGTCCAGATGGCATACTGAAAGTGCTAACACCATGGCAGGCACATGGTGTGTGTCCAATAGGTGATATTTGTTATTAATAATAAAATAAAAACTGTAAGATCAGCTTAAGACAGTGTAAAGGGAGTATGTGTGTGTTAGTTGCTCAGCTATGTTCGACTCTTTGCAACCCCATGGACTGTAGCCTGCCAAGCTCCTCTGTCCGTGGAATTCTCCAGGCAAGAATACTGGAGTGAGTTGCTGTTCCCTTTGCCAGGGGATCTTCCCAACCCAGGGATCGAACCCATGTCTCATTATGTCCAGATGTTTTAAACCTCATTATGGCAGATTCTTCACCGTCTGAGCCACCGGGGAAGCCTTCAAAAGGAGAAAGAGAAAAAACTCCCCCGTGACAAAAGCCTAAAAGCTAGAAGTACAGCTATTACCTTTGAAGCACAACACTGTTTATTTTTACATCCTGGAACATTTTAAAGTTTAAGTCTCATTTAAAAATATGCATTTTATTTAAAAGTTAGAACTTATTCTTATTTAATAAAAACACATCCCCATGCCTCTGCAGTGCCCCACTGCATTCACCGGCACTAAAATGAGGGTGAAGGAATAAAGCCAAACTAACAGTGCCGCTCATCACAAAGGCCAGGTTTGACTCTCCCAGCCGTAGGCCCTGTAGTGGAATCTGAGACGAAAATGAAAGGCATCGTTCTTCCGAGGAGCCGNCCCCACTGCATTCACCGGCACTAAAATGAGGGTGAAGGAATAAAGCCAAACTAACAGTGCCGCTCATCACAAAGGCCAGGTTTGACTCTCCCAGCCGTAGGCCCTGTAGTGGAATCTGAGACGAAAATGAAAGGCATCGTTCTTCCGAGGAGCCGGGGAGGTGGGGCTCAATGGGACGATGGCCCCTCAGTCCTGGTCAGCTTGGCTCTGCCTTTGCACTGTAGCCCCGTCTGCTCTGGGCAGCCCCCTCCGTGGTGGCCTGGGGTCTGCAACAGCTCAGCCAGGCACACAGACAAGGAGATGTGGATGGGAAGATGGGACTGTGTGTGTTTATCTGGAATCATACATGTAAACTGTAGAGGATGGAAGTTGGATCAAAAGCCATAGGAAGATGATTAAACATGGCTGATTTTACCTAGTCTGGCTCTAAACTAATCTGTCCCTTGGGCTGGTCACAGAACAGGTCCAACTATTTAGGAAAAGCAAGTGAGTGGAGGTCTCCAAGGGCTAATGTGATGGACGATGCAAGGCCTTCTTCTTCTCTGGCTTCATCTTTCAGGGACTTGGGAAGAACGTCTACCCATGACTGCTCCTGCCGTCCCCCCCCAACCCGTTTCCGTCAGCACGCAGTCTGTCTGAGATGCGAAGCCACCCTCCCCTGGCCGCAGGGCTAATACTGGCTGACCCCTGCTCGTGCCCACGCTCCCACCCTGCTGGACAGGCTGCAGAGGGGAACCGCCTCCCTCACAAGTGACAGCAGGGTGGCCAGGCCAACAAGGGGGGCAGGAGGTGCAGGCTGGGATGGCCTGTCAAGCACCAGCTCCTCCATCCTTCTGCCAGTGCCAAGGGGCTGTTGAAGGCGCCAGGGTTCTGTCCTGCTCATGGAAGTTCTCCTTTGGGTAGCAATCCATATACCTTCACTTGCAGCTAGCAGGCAAAACATAAGGTTACCCTGATGGAGTATAAAACGTGCCCTGGCCCCTTAAGCAGTAGAACACCGCAGTCTACGAATTTTAAACCTGAGCAGTGTCACCTCTGAGCAGCGAACCCACAAGACTGGCTTTCTAAGATGCCTCTGTGCCCAGCGACTTGGGGGACACAGTGGAGATCGGGGTTCAGAGGAGGGGAAGTCACACCCCAACCTAAACGGCCACTGCATCTTACAACTCTTTGCTAGCTCCTGGCCTCTAACTTCTCAATAACCCTAAACAGGAACGGGTGGAGACCCCCCGGAGGCCGCAGACAACCCCGGGATGTGGCGGTAATAGCCTGTACCGCCACGCCCGGCGCTCACCGGTGTTGATCTCCGCCTCGTCATAGACGTCCACTTCCAGGAGCCGGATGAGCATGCGGAAGAGGAGCCTCAGGAACTGCAGGTAGGAGCCCGTCTTCCCCACCTGGGGCGGGTGTTGAGTTGTAGCGGGGAGGGGGAGGAAAAGAGGAGAGAATGCCACACCTGGGCTCTCCAACGACTCCGTCCATCTCTGAGTGGGGCCTCGACGCCCCCCGATCCGAGACAGCNGGGTCCATCCAGGCGGCGCTCGGGCTTCGGGCCGCATCTCGGCCCCTGACGCCCTGCCGCCCCCCTCGCGACCCTTCTCCCCGCCGTCCCCTGGCGCCCCCTCAACCCCCGCCCTGACTGCCGGGTGGGCTCGGAAATGGGCATTTATTCCCGGTTTCCTCCGGGCGGCCAGGAGAAACCTGGACCCACGCCCGACCCTCCCCGCGTCTTCAGCCCGCAGGTAATCCCGGCACCCTGGAACCGACCACCCCGCCGCCTCCTGCTCCTTCTCTCCATTCTGCCCGCGTCTTTGTACATCGCGGGTTATTAAACTCTCCTCTGGTTACGTCGTTTGGCTAAGCCAACCATCCGAATCACTCCAGAACCCTGACCAACACACGCTCTACACCCAAGTCCTGTCCAGTGGCACTCGCTCCTTCTGGGGTCCCAGGCCACACCCTCCTGGCTGTGGACAGGCTCCCCAGGGGGTAGCCGCTTCCTTAGATGCCTGGACCAGACCAGCGTGGGAAGGCGGGGCGTAACCTCCTCCCTCCCAACCCGCCAGGGCTGGAGATCTGCTCACCTAAAGCCAACTCACCGCAAATGTCCCCCACCCCCACCCTTCCCTGGGGGCTCAGACGGTAGAGAATCCGCCTGCAATGCAGGAGACCTGGGTTCCATCCCTGGGTTGAAAAGATCCCCTGGAGAAGGGCGTGGCAACACACTGCAGTATTCTTGCCTGGAGAATTCCATGGACAGAGGAGCCTGGAAGGCTACAGTCCATGGGGTCACAGAGTCAGACAGGACTGAGCGACTAAGTGGTTTGAAGACAAATCAGAATCGCATTACAAGAACTTTTCTGCTCAGACTGGTGCCTCCCAGGCATGTGGGCAAATCCCAACCTTGGGAGCTCCTAGGTGAAGGGCCAGTAACCAGAGGCTCCTGACCCCATCCCTGCTGCTCAGCTGACTTCTGCTTGAGCGTTTCCTTCTGCCTTGAAGGCCCTTGAGTCCTCTGGCCTGCATGCCTTGGGCGATGAGCACCCCCTGAGGACCCTGAAAGTCAGCAGGAGGCTGTTAGGGTGGTGGGTAGGGTGTGTGGAGGGCAGCACCTGGATCCTCCAAGATTGGGGAGGGGGAATTCCATACAGCAGGGTTCATGAGAGCAAGGCCAGAATCCCCTCTCCACGTGTAGGGGAGGGAGGGGGATGATTAAGGAGCCCAGGAAGGAAGAGGACTCTCATCACCCCACCCCACCCCGCCTTCCTCCTCTTCCCTCACTGATGCTGGCTGGTGTGGAAAAGCTTCTAGGTGTGCTCTTCCCCTCCCTTCTGTTACCCTTTACCATCCTCCCCAACTCCCTCTTTTATTCTGAACTGGTCTGCCAGGCAGACCCAGGGAGCCTATCTTAGGGGATGGGGGGTACAGCCCCGACCCATGACTGAAGCACATCCTGGTAGGACAGTCCTTGTGCTCTTCCAGGTACAGATACCTGCCTCTTCCATTCAGAAGGGGTGTGTGTGTGTGTGTGTGTGTGTGTGTTAGTGTCATGAGGTAAGAGAAGGGAAACACGGGGCAGAAGGAACGTGAATGGTGGTTCCCTTTGTTGTGGGATTTTCATTTTTCATCTCTTCTCTCTACTTCATTACATTCTCCAAGTTTTCTATATTAAACTCTATTATAACTTTCACAATCAGAAAAAAAAAAAAATGGAAATAATGCTGTGTGTGCAGGGTAAGTTGTTTCAGTCGTGTCCAACTCTGTGACCCCATGGACCATAGTCCATCAGCCTCCTCTGTCCATGAGATTCTCCAGGCAAGAATACTGGAGTGGATTGTCATGCCCTCCTCTAGGGGATCTTCCCTACCCAGGTATCCAACTGATGTCTCTTATGTCTCCCTCATGGGCAGGCGGGTTCTTTACCACTAGCGCCACCTGGGAAGCCCTGGAAATAATGCTGCATTTGCTTAATACTATTTAGCAGAAGAAAATTCATGCCAGGCACTGCCATCAGCCATACAGTAACATAATAAGAGGGTGGTTGGTAGGCTGTAGGCTGGATCATCCCAATCAACCAGTGGTCTCAGAGTAGCCTTCAGTGTATAAACACTTGCCATTTAGGTACTTGGGGGAAAAGTCACTCATTCATTCAAACACACACACTCAGTGCTAGGTACTAGGCCAATTAGCACAAACCAGGGTCTGGAAGGAAAAGAAGACCTTTGTGCAAATATCAGATGCGTAATATTGATGAGATGATTAGGGTACAGAGACTAGGAGACGTGGTGTTAGTGAGGGTTAATGAAATTTACTTATTGTATTTAGCCTACTGGTCAGGAAGATCCTCTGGAGCAGGAAATGGCCACCCACTCCAGTATTCTTGCCTGGAGAATCCCTTGGACAGAGGAACCTGGCGGGCTACAGTCCATAGGGTTGCAAAGAGTTGGATATGGCTGAAGTGACTTAGCATGCAGCGTGCAGGCATGCATTTAACCTATTAGCAAGCTCTTCATTAAGTGCTTCCCAGGCAAATATCTTGTGGCTGCTCAAGACTCACGTTTGTCAACTATGTCTCCCCAGGACTGAGGTCTGGAGGGGATGCCCAGGTCAGTCACGGCTGCTCTGAAAGCCGGGTGGGAGTCAGCAGGTGCCTCTGCCTTCCCTACTTCTACCCCTTCCTCTCTCCTGCCCCAACCCCTGGAGAGAGAAAGTACTGACCTGAAGTTCCCGTGACAGCGCTGCTGTTACTCTGGGGTCTCTCCAGGTCGATCAGCAGCTCCTCGGTGTCATTCTCGCTGGCCGCAGCTCGCTCCTGCTCCTTGCCGCTGAGGTCCAGGGCAGCAGTGGGCCCCCGGATCACCTCTTTGGACACATAGCAGCAGGCCAGCCCCATCTCCTGCTCTAAGGCCGTGCGGGTTAAGTAGCTCGAATCAATTAACCGGAGGTCACAGTACTTCAGAGACCTGCACAGAGTAATGGTGTCTTTGGTGAGGCATGCAGCGTTTACGAGTGGCTGACAGCAGTCAAAATGGTGAGTTTCAGTGCCAGGTAATCCTTGATGTAAACCTCAGCACTGCCACCTCCTAGCTCTTAGGACCTTGGGATAGTCACTTCACTTTCTCCACAACCCCATCTCCTGCTCTAAGGCCGTGCGGGTTAAGTAGCTCGAATCAATTAACCGGAGGTCACAGTACTTCAGAGACCTGCACAGAGTAATGGTCTTTGGTGAGGCATGCAGCGTTTACGAGTGGCTGACAGCAGTCAAAATGGTGAGCTTCAGTGCCAGGTAATCCTTGATGTAAACCTCAGCGCTGCCACCTCCTAGCTCTTAGGACCTTGGGATAGTCACTTCACTTTCTCCACATATAGAATAGAGTAACAGTGCCCAGCTGACAGTTATTTCAAGGAATGAATGACGTGGCACAGGTAAGGTGTTTAGAGCAATACCCAATGGGCTTCCCTGGTGGCTCAGATGGTAAAGAACCTGGCTGCAATACAGGAGACCTGGGTTTGATCCCTGGGTCGGAAAGATTCCCTGGAGAAGGGAATGGCAACCCACTCCTGTATTCTTGCCTGGAGAATCCCACGGACAGAGGAGCCTGGCGGGCTACAGTTCATCAGGGCCCCAAAGAGCTGGACACCACTGAGCAACTAAAGAGCAACAATGACTGTTCTCGCTATTGCCTTCCGACCCACAGGTCTCAGATCCTTGAGGGAACAGCAGCCTAACAGAGACATTTCATCCAAAAAGCTCCTCACTGGGGGCAATGCTTCTCCTCCCTGCCTCTCTGGCTGCCTAGCTTTCAGGCATAAACACTTCTCCTCCAGGGCTTCTCTCTCATTCCCCAAATTGCTAGGCAATCTCTGGAAAGTTGAAAGAATCCAAGAAGGCTAAATTTCTTGTATCCCCGAGTAAAACAATTGCCTTCTCACTTGCCAAGTGAAGGAAGTGGGTGAGCATCAGCTAAGTTTTAACCGTCAGCTCAGCCAAGCAACCAATGGAAAATGAGAATTAGTGATTCGCATCATACCTGGGAAAGGTTTCTCCAAGAGGATCTTTGCCAGTTAATATCACAATACAAGGCAGACCTTCTAGATCCTGGTACGTCCGAGGGACCCACTCTTCCGCTTCATTTCCTCTCCAGGTCTGTAGAAGGGGACCCATACAATAAAATTAAAACCCCTCATTGAGTATCCACCTTTTTTGTTTCTACAATCAGATTTTACACACATCTGTGCTTCCAAATGACTTCCAATAAGTGTGTTTGTATGTGTACATATATTTTAATTGCTACTGAAAAGAATACACCAAGTACTCTAGAAGAATGTGGCCTTCCACTTTATCTCAATAAGGTAAAACAGGAGGTCTTAATGAATATATCATGTATTAGGCCATTGCACATCAAAGAAATACACAATGTGAAATATCCCACCAATGGTGCAAACCTTACAGAAACCCTGCTTAAACTATGTGACTCAGTGCTCTTAAGTACAACACTTTCTTTGTATAATGGAAAGACTCTTGGGACTGATTGATCGAAAAAGACCATTTCGGTTGTAAATGACTAATAAAATAATCACAGCGAAACTTATATATAATCACCTCTATACATTAACTGAAATATACATATACACACATATGTATATCTTTAATAAATGGAACAATCTCAAAAACAGGAATTTATCAAGAGGAAGAAAATCTCAACTTGAAGGATGCTCGAAAGTGAAAAGAGCTTACAGAGCAGAAAGAAAATTTTTTTTTCTATTTTAGAGCAGAAAGAAAATACACCATCTCTTAAGTGGATAAGGTGATTTCTACTACTTTTTATGAAGTGTGTAGCATCTAACTGTGCTTTATATCAGCTTTCTAGCAGGAGTTATAAGAAATGAACTGACATTTCTGATAATGTTTTAGGGAACAAAGACTAAGAAGTAAGGTATTAAGAGATGCATATAATGTTATTTTAAAATAGACTGGTATTTCCTTTGCTAAAACCAAAATGGGATAAAAAGAAATATATCAGGCAGGATATGATATGATATAATATAACAGAGTTTGGTTACTGGTTTGTTGATGTCTATAAAAGCCAGTCTTGGAAATAAATATACCCACAATTACTTCAAGTAAAATGCATAGAGTTTGTAAAACTGGAAGAGCCCCCAAACCTCAATCTATTGTCATATATTTTTATGCCAAGGAGAACTCAGTGGATCTACATAACTATTTATAAGTTTTAGAGACTTTCTATGTCTTAGAAAATCAATCTGTCACAAACATTAAGACATTAGCAGAAAGTTTCTCCCCACCCCCAATTCAGTTTTCCATATATTTTCATGTCAAAGGGAACTAGAACATTACCTAAATCAAAGCAAATAATTCCGCAAATGAGAATCATTTTACTCATAAACCTTCTCGTTGGACTTATGAGATCCCTGACTCTGGGGTCTCCCCAAATATATTTCATGGTTCTAGCAAGAATGAGTTTGAGTTATAATGATGGGAGAATAGATGTCGTGTTTTATAAGGAGAATTATTTTCAAAAAATGATTAAACAGATTCCACTTTTACTCTTGACCAATCAGAGTAAGGCAAATCCACTAAATAATGTTTTTCTGCCACATTGTTACTTCCGATGATGGATGGCTGCCATTCCTCTATGGGTCTATCATGCTTTTCCTACAGAAGCAGTTAAGACAACACAAGACTGAGACAGCATTGACTTAGGGGCTCGTATGGGGTTCAAGGTCAAGGAAATCTAATGAAAGCTTCACAGGCCTCCTGGACAGACTAACTTATTCAGATATAAACTTATATCCTTCCCAAGTACTTACTATCACTTAGAAGTTAACCACGATACCTAAAGGATAATTAGAGGTAAGCACAAAAATAAGGCCCTCTAATGGAAAAAGAGGCACTGGATATTACCCAAGGCTAGAGACAAAAGGCACACTGGTGCTTTTCGTCAGTGGTAAAGGAAGTTGGTATTAATAATTTTGAAATCAGAAGGTGAAATAGAGACCACCTGGCAAGTGTCAGTCTTACTAAGGATGCAAACATTTCAGTTTCACTTCCACACCAGTGGAAAATAGGGACTTCCATGATGGTCCAGTGACTACCTTGCAATGCAGGGGGCCTGGGTTTGATCCCTGGTCAGGGAACTAGATTCCACATGCTGCCAACTAAAGATCCTGTATGCTGAAACAAAGACCTGGTACAGACAAATAAATAAATAAAAATAAATATTTTTTTAAAAATAAAAAAGGTGGAATATAAAAAGGATGGATCGATGTGATTGAGGGATTTTGAACATATGGAAATCTCTTTTTATTTAAGCCACCCCCTATAGCATGTGGGATCTTAGTTCCAAGAGGATCAAACCTGCACCCCTGCATTACAGGGCAGAGTCTTAACCACTGGACCACCAGGGAAGTCTCTGGAAATCTCTTCCATGTAGCTGGTGCTTGGCCACTTCTCATGTGAATTGAGGTGTAACTGCTTGAGAAGTAATTACTTGACATCTCTTCATGGCACACCCACAGCAGCCCCTGGAAGCCCTACAGGTGATTCTGATGTGCTTGCAGCCAGGTAGGGACCTCAATTATTGACTGGTTTTCAAACTATGGCCCACGGGGGCAAATTATTGAAGACTGCTGATTTACTCTAACTTAGTAAGTATCTGAACAAACAACCTAAGATGCTTTAAGCAGCTACACCCGTTCAGTGCCAATGGAGACCCAGAGAAGACCTTGCAGCCTCATAGCCTTTGGGAACATCTCCCTGCAGCAGGTGTGTGAGACCTTGCAGAGCAGTGCTGACTACCTGCCTGTCCAGATTCCTCCTCATTAGCATCATTCAAACTGTCTCATAACTAACAAGTTACATTGTAAGAAGAGTTTCAGGATTCTCATTTCTTACTTATCCTAGGAATACTGCTATATTGTAGTCTATATCTTTAACTCAAAGCTGTGAACATTGTATGAAATGTAAATGTTACAACATTCACTAAATATAGGAGCTTCTATGTTTAGACAGATTTATTTGTTCCAGCTGTGTATCAAGCTAATACAAGACATTTTGTTTGCATTTTGGATTATTTGAGTTAGGTAGTAGAACATAATACAAAGGTTTACATTTGCAAAATGCTCTATGAATATGAAATAATGATCCTCAAATTACAGTCCTCAGAGACCATGCAGTCTAACACTCATTCTGCAGTTGGAAAACTGCAGCCCAGATGGAAATGTAAATCCTCTAAGACTGCATGGTTTCTTTTTATACAATTCGTGTCAAACTAAGCTTTTCTTCATCCAGGTTAGCTCAGTATTTAGTTTCTGCAAGGTTCAGAAACCAGGTTGACCTAACCCTGACACAGAGCGCCTTGCTCAGTACCACACCCATCTGTGTGCAGAATTTCATTAAATGCTGTCAAAGGGCTGGGACACATTGGATTAGAAAAGTCCCCAGAAAAATCTGAGCGGGGCAGGAGGTAGGGACTTAGGTTAGTTGATCAAAGAAGTCTCCCGCGCCCACCACACCTGACAGGAAGGGTTCAGAAAAAGCAATGCCTTCCCCGTGCAGAGCGGTGGGGGACTTAGCCATGCGCAGGCTTGGAAGAGCCTCAGTCCAGCCCACGCTTGGGGCCAAAGCAAGTACAAAGAAACAGCAAACTGTTGAGGAATCGACATGCAAGAAGGTGGGCAATCGTCCTCTGTGAGCCCTGAAGAGAAAACAGGATACTTTACCGACTCTGAGTGGACAGAAAAGATTCAGTGAATGGATGATATTGAAAGGCGTGCCCCCACGGAGGTCCAAGAGAACAACTTACCTTTATTTTGTTTTCTGAGAAAACAGATGGCCGTGGGCTAGATGAATCTTGAACAAGGTCAATAAACAGGGGGTGAAATTGGGTCATCGCATTTTTTTTTGCACCTGCAGTCGGAGAGCATGGAAGACCAACTGCATGCATGCACTAGCACCGGGGACCCAGACCGAATGTTAATAAACTAGGAAGGCGGACACGTCCCTTAGCTTAGCCTTAACGTTGTCACAAAGATCGCGTGACACTTGTGCGAAACTCTAGCAAACTGCAGGCCTCTGAGCCGCCTGCACGGGGTGGTGGCGGGGGGTCCTAGAAAATGGATCGAAGGTCTGTCCATTGCTAACCTTTAGTCGCGCCACAAAGTGGGCTGCCACGCTGAGTTCTGAGGCAGGGTTCCCCAGGACCACCTCGAAGCGGTACTGGAGCCCCAGCTTGTCCCGCACCTCCTGCAGCCGCTCCTTGGCCAGCATCGCCAGCTGCACGGAGGGCACCCTGAGGATGAGCATGTGTCCGCGCCCGCTGCGGTTCTTCCCTGGGCAGCTGAGGAGGTCATCCATGATGTTGAGGGTCTCCGGTGTGCTGTGGTCGCGCAGGGACGCCACGGTGGTCAGAGCCATCAGCGCCTCCGAGTACTGCTGGATGAGGAGGTAGCAGCGGACCACCATGCTATGCAGCCTGGGGTACCTTCAACAGAACACAGGGGGCGCTGGCATGGGGGGCCTGGGGCCCTGGGGTCGCGAGGGCTGTGCGGTAGGAACGGAGACCAGCAGGGTGGGAAGGGGAGAGTGCTGGGTGGTGGGCTTGGGCTCAAGAATGACTTGGATTTGAGTCAGTTCTTACAAGGTGGATGAACCCAGAGCCTATTATACAGAGTGAGCTCAGAAAGAGGAAGACAAACATGGATATTAACACACATATATGGAACCTGGAAAGATGGTACTGATGAACCTATTCGCAGGGCAGCAGTGGAGATGCAGAGAACAGACTATGAACACGGGTCGGGGGGAGGAAAGAGAAGCTGAGAGCACTTTCGGTATATTAGAGAAGACAGACAAACATTGTATATTAACACATATATATGGAACCTGGAAAGATGGTACTGATGAACCTATTCGCAGGGCAGCAGTGGAGATGCAGAGAGCAGACAATGAACACGGGTCGGGAGGAGGAAAGAGAAGGTGGGGCGATTGGAGAGAGTAGCATGGAAGCATATACACTACCGTTTGTAAAACAGCCAGAGGAAATTTGCTCTGTGACTCAGGGAACTCAAACTGAGGTTCTGTAACAACCCAGAGGGGTAGGATGGGAGGTAGGAGGGGGATTCAGGAGGGAGGGGACATATGTATACCTATGGCTGATTCACGTTGATATATGGCAGAAACCAAAGCAATATTGTAAAGCAACTATCCCTCAATTAAAAATAAATAAGTTTGTTAAAAAAGAATGAACTTGGAGACCTGTAGAGCACAGGGAACTCTGCTCAATGTTATGTGGCAGCCTGGATGGGAGGTAAGTTTGGGGGAGAATGGATACATGCATATGTATGGCTGAATCCCTTGTTCACCTGAAACTATCGCAACATTGTTCATTGGCTATACCCCAACACAAAATTAAAAAGTTAAAAAAAAAAAAAAGAATGACCTTGGAGCCCACATAACTAGACAGAAAAGTTAAGCTCACAACACCTGCTGGGATAGGTACTTCAAGTTCAAGAGGCTTAGGGACAGTCTAAGGATCCTAGCTTCTCCCAGAGTGGTCTCTGAACCAGCAGCATCACCACCTGGGAGCTTGTTAGATATGCCAAACCCTCCTACCCAATGTGTACTGAATCCGAAACAGCCTGGACAAGGTCCCCAGGGATTTGTACCACATTGTATCTTGAGAAGCACTGGTCTGCTCAGACTATCCACAGAGTTGTAAAGGATCATCCCTAGATTCTAAGCTCTTCCTGCTGTCCTGGGGTTAGAATGCTTGGTAGCTTATTTCTCTGATACTTAAAACTACAGTTGGGAAACCGATCCATTAATGTAATGTCTGTGAAGTATAAGTTGTAAAAAGAGTAATTATTATGGCTAATTTGAGGTCAGCTCCCCTGTAGCAATAACAATTGCTATTGTTCAGCCACTAAGTCGTGTCAGACTCTTTCTGACCCCAGGGACTGCAGCACACCAGGCTTTCCTGTCCTTCACCATCTCCTGGAGTTTGCTCAAGCTCATGTCCATTGAGTCAGGGCAATAACAGTATCTTCTCATAAAAATGGAGAAGCTTGGAGCCGGCTGGAGAAATAGCATCCCCTAGTGGTGTGGTCTCCCATCCACCTGGGTGAAAGGAGCCTGGGGAAATTGCAGGGGTGTCCTTGACTCACCCCAACATTCCCCGCTCTCCACCTTCCACTGGACCAACTCGGCTGTTTGTTTGTTTGTTTTTACAATTACAGAGCAGGCGGAAAATAAACCTCTCATTTACAAGCTATTCCTCATAAGACCCGGCCAGAAGACAGAAGCAATACACATGGGTAAAGAGGACCCACTTGCAGACATGAAGAGGTGCTGGTCAAGAAAGCAGGCCTGGGGAAAGCAAGGCCTGGACCAGAGCTTGGCTGGGCCTCCCGTGGTGACTGGAGAAGGATGGTGGGTCTATGAACTTTCTTCCTGGATGCCGACTTCCAGGCAGCCGCCTAGCAGCTGAGTAGACCAGAGGGGAATTTCACCTTTGCTCCACTTTATAATTCTATTTAAAGTGAAACAGTCATCACCAACCTCGCACAGGAAAGCCCAGGGTCAAATACCAGTTCGGGTCAGCAAATGACTACTGTGGTTTTGAAGTACCTAGAGCTGGAAAAGACCATGGATTGATTCCCTGGGTTCTGATTCACCTTCTCATGGAAATATGCTGATTTAAGCGCTGGGAGAAATTCAGCTACTTGCCTAAGATTATCCAATCAGTCAGAGACAAGAGTGGATTTTATTCAGTTCTTTGACAATGTCTTCTCAAGTGGTAACGATTTAGCAGACTGGGGAAAAGTAAAGAAATCCTTTAGTTTCATCGGTCCTCCTGAACCAATCCATTCAAGTGTTCAATAAATCACAACTATTATGAGCCTGGGGGACCTGGGCTGGAGGAAGTGAGCACAGATGATCCAAGTTTAAGGCTTACTGTTTTGTTTTGTTTTTTTTGCTGGGGCATGTAAGAAAACCAAAGTTAGATCAAAGGTAACTTTGACGTAAAAAGTGAAAGTGTTAGTTCTTCAGTTGTGTCTGACTCTTTGTGACCCCATGGACGTAGCCCACCAGGCTCCTCTGTCCATGGAATTCTCCAAGCAGGAATACTGGGGTGGATTGCCAATCCCTTTTCCAGGGGATTTTCCCAACCCAGGAAATGAACTCAGGTCTCCCTCATTGCAAGCAGATTACCATCTGACATGCAGGCATTTAAATTTTACACTGAAAGAGCTATGAACTTAGAAGTGAATAGTTTTCCCAATTTTTTTTTTTTGTTTGTATTCAATTGTAATCATAGTTTTTGTAAGGATTACAAAAGTTGTATAGAAGCTGATGGGACTGTCCATGAAAATATGAGTTATAAAACTCCAAGATGTTACTGGAAGAAAAGATAGGTTCCAAGCTGGCGGACAGAACAGGAAGAGGCTGGGGAACACTTAGAGGGGAGGTTTTAGAAATCTCAGATCACAGGTGCCATGAAGAGATTGACATCACAGTGTCTGTTAAGTCTTCTCAAACCCAACAGCTGCAGAAGCACAAAATCCCACTGTAAGCCTGTTCCTTTTCCTGACACCACCCAATAACTTGCTGGGTTGGACGTTTCTCCCTGATCATCTTTATTTCTCTTTCTTAGCAGCCATATAGGGCAGCTTTTAAATAGATGGTCTGTGATCGATGAGAGACAGTGTTAAGAACTAGAGCTACTAAAAATGAGAATATGTCTCATCACATAGAGCCCGACTGCCCCATCACTGGATGATCAGACAGAATATTGTAGTGGAGGACAGGGAAGAACCTCTATTAGGTTAAATTATTTTCTTTTGTGGGGGGCCATGCCCGGCTTGAGGGATCTCAGTTCCCCAACCACAGACTGAATCTCGGTCCTAACCACTGGACTGCTGTGAAATTCCCTATTAAGTTAAATTCTTATGCCTCTTTGTTTGAGTCTATAGTTCAAGATCAGAGAGGGCGGAAAAAATGAACAAACAAAACAGAAAATCCCTTTGCTCTTCCAGCGTTTGACCTGAAATTGAGGAAGAGAAATGAGACAGAGTCATAATCCTTTATCCCAAAGTCAGGGACTGGAGAGGGCCACTTGGAACTGAGCTCAAACAATCTGATTATTTTTTAGTGTTCTCCAGTTTACACTTCAAGTCTCTCAAAGTAAAGTTTCATTTCTTTACTGAAGGTGCTTGCCTGTCGTAGACAGAGGAGAAAAGTGTGGGGTGCACGGTGGGGAGGGGGAGGCCATACCCCAGAGGAATGGCTTCTAATAAGCCAATCCCTCTCTGCCCGCATCATCTCTGGGTACAGCTGGGAATGAACCTGCCTGGGAGATGATTCAGAGCACGGAAGGTGGTTCTCCTTCCCGCTTGGGGTCACCGGATTCCTTTGCTGGTCCTGGATGATGATAGAAAACCCAGCTGAGTGAAAGGTCATCTCAGGAAAGGCTATTTTTATTCTGCTCTTGAGTGTCATTTGCATAGCCTGGGCTCCACCAAAACTCCCTGTGACTCTGACAAAAAAGACGTTTGGCATGTTCAGACAAACAAGAACAGCTAAAGATGAGGCTGAAGGTCCTTATTTACCTCTCCAAGAGCGTGTTCACCATTTTTTCAAATGTCTCGTCACATCTCAGAAGGGGGCTCGTGATTCCCCATTGCAGAGATTTACTGTACTCGTTCAGGCCGAAGTACAGCTTCTCCTCGCAGCTCATGTCCTCCTGGTTTGAAACACAGAGCAAAACCCAGTGAGGGCAGGACACAAGGTGTCTTATTTTCAAGGTTAGGGGAGAAGGGACCTGTAACAGGTTATTGCCTGAAAATTAGAAAAAATTGTGAATAAGCAAGTGGGACTATATCAAACTAAAAAGATTCTGCACAGCAAAGGAAACAAAATGAAAAGGCAACCTACTGAATAGCAGAAAATACTTGCAAATCATTTACCTGATGAGGGGTTAATACCCAAAATCTATAAAGAGCTCATATAACTCAACAGCAATCCCCCCAATCCAATTAAAAAGTGAGACGATCTGAATAAAATGCTTTTTCTTTTTTTAAATTTCATTTTACTTCTCTTTCTTTTTTCTTAGCAAAATGATAGGGGCAGCTTGTTAAATAGATGGCTTAGAATCATCTGGAGCTAGCAGGCTTTGAAGAACTAGAGCTCCTGGGCTCCTCCAGTATCACAAATCATAAATGACATGATTTACTGAATTCTTGTATCTTTGGGGAAAATGTTCCTCTGCTTAAAAAAATCTCCGCTCCCAGAGTCCTGCCCTCTCAGTGACCCTGAGCTCACCACCCCTGTCTTTGCGCTGCTGTCTCTGCTTTTCCTCCAGCCCGACCCGCTGCTCTGTGGATGCTGTTCCCTGGAAGATCACCAAGGACTCCTGAGGCCAAGCCTCAGTCCTTGGCCTTGCTGCCCTCTCAGCCATTCTCTTCTTTATTTTCTTCCATGATTTCATCTACACCAGCTGCTTTGGTCAGTGATCAGTGTTCCTGAAAACATATTCCAAATCCTCATCCTAAAGTCCCAGTTCCTACTCCCACTCCGTGTTTGCCATGGTGCACTTGCCTGGCCTCAGCTCAGTTCGAATCTGTCTTGTCTGCCTTCCGCACGCAGGTCTACTGCACTTCTGTCTTCTCTTTTCCCACTAAAGGCATCACCTTAAAAATATCTCTGCCTTTTCTCTCTTCCTCAAAAAACAAATCCTAGAAAAGTTACCATTTCTTCCATCCTTTTTATTGCCAGCACCTCTATTCTGATTGAGGTACTTGTTCATTCGAACCTGAAATATCAGAAAAGCCAGATGACTCACCCCCACCTTTCTAATCACTTTGACTTGACCTCTTATAGTTAATAAATTGCCTTAAGATGCAGCCTCTTAGTATCCACTAAAGCTGAACTCTGCACTCAGCAATTTCACTCCCAGATACATACCAAACAAAAGTGTATACAGATATCTACTAAAAGTCATGAGCTAGCATGCTCAAAGCAGCATCTGAAATCAGTGAATAGGATGAATAAATCAACTGTGGTGAGTCACCCAGCGTAACCTATATACAACCAAAAGCACGAGTGTTTCATGACTCATGTAAAATATAAAAGAATCTCACAAACAGTGTTGAGCAAAAGAATTTATATATAACAGAGCGCCTACTGCATGTGTGCATGACGTCAGTCGTGTCCGACTCTTCGTGACCCCATGGACTGCATGCAGCCCGCTAGGCTTCTCTGCCCATGGGATTCCCCAGGTAAGAATACTGGAATGGGTGCCATTTCCTCTTCCAGGGGATCTTCCCAACCTAGGGATCAATCCTGAATCTCTTCCGTCTCCTGCATTGGCAGGCAGGTGCTTTACCACTAGCGCCACCTGGAAAGCCCACGCCTATTGCACCATTCCATCTATATAACATTCAAAATGAGGCAAACCAAGCCAGAAGAGTGCCTCCCTCTGGCGACAGAGTGCCTGGCCTCTGGAGTGAAGCTCATGTTCTAGTTTTTCATCTAAGTGCTGGTTCCACGGGTATGTTCAGTTCGTGACAATTCACAGAGCTGTATATTAACATTGAATAATTGTGAATTATGAATAATTCTGAACCTAAAAAATATAAGAATTATGCATATTCTGGGAGTTCCCTGGCGGCCTAGTGGTTAGGAATCAGCACTTTCACTGCCATGGCCTGGGTTCAATCCTTGATTGGGGAACTAAGATCCTGCAAACTGCATGCACAGCCAAAAAAAGAAAAAAGAGTAGGTTCTGATATTTCTAATAATACTGTGCCCTTGCTAAAAAATTGTTCACAGTCATGTAACAAGTGTAAGCTTCCCCAGCCTGGTCTCAAAGATTCCACATGTATGTTTTCAGGTTTCATTTAATCCCACTAAGTTTTCTCTGAACAGTGCCTGATGCTCCTCCTCTACGGCCCTGCCCTGCTGTCTGCTGTCAGCAGCGTCTGCTCCCGTCCTTCCTCTCCTCCAGAGCCCACCCCAAGCGCTCTGTCCTCCAAGTCACCATTCCTGCTGCTCTCGAGTGAGTGGGACTTTCCCTCCTTCAACCCACAGAGCACTTTGGTTTTTTGCAATTGTCTTCTTCTACTTTGTTTTTATTTTCTTTTTTTTTCATGTTTGTCATTTTGTTTTTACAAATAAAAACTGTATTTATTTAAGGTGTATATATTGGAGAAGGAAATGGGAACCCACTGCAGTATTCTTGTCTGGAGAATCCCATGGACGAGGAGCCTAGTGGGCTACAGTCCATGGGGTCATAAAAGAGTCGGACACGACTGAGTGACTAACACACAGGGTGTATAACTTGATTTTTTCTTTTTTAAAACTACTGAAATATAACTGACATGAACATTACCTTAGTTTCAGGTGTACAACATAATAATCTGCTATTTGCATATGTTGTGAAATTATCACCACAAGAAGTTTAGTTAACATCCACCCATCACCACACATGGTTGTAATTCTTTTTTTCTTGTGGTGAGGACTTTTAAGATCTACTCTCCAAGCAACTTTCAAATGTACTGAACAGTGTTACGAACTACTGTCACCCTGCTCTACATTATTTCCCCAGAACTTTTTCATTTATTTTATAACTGGATATTGGTACCTTTTGACCACCTTCACCCATTTTGTCCACCCTCCAGCCCCCACCAACTGGCAACCACCAATCTGTTTTCTCTATGTCTCTCTCTCTCTTTTTTTTTTTTGATGTGGGCCTTTTTTAAAGTCTTTATTGAATTTGTTACAGTATTGCTTCTGTTTTATGTTTTGGTTTCTTAGCCACGAGGCATGTGGGATCTTCACATGCCCTGCATTGGAAGGCAGTCTTAACAACTGAACTACCAGGGAAATCTCAGAATGAATCATTCAAAAGCACAGAACTAATTCAGGATATTGATGATTATGTCAGATCACATTACATTTTAGGGGGACAAACTACACAGGTGGATAATTTTGTATCTGCATGATAACCTAAAGTAGAAACCACCGAATCAAATTTATAAGAACACTATTCACTGGCTTTTGTTGTTGTCATTGTTTAGTCACTAAGTCATGTCTGACTCTTTACGACCTCATGGACTATAGCCCACCAGGCTCCTCTGTGGACGGGATTCTCCAGGCAACAATACTGGAGTGGGTTGCCATTTCCTTCTCCAGGGGATTTTCCCAACCCAGGGATTAAAACTGAGTCTCCTGCATTGGCAGGCAGATTCTTTACCACTGAGTCACCTGGGAAGCCCACTCATTAGCTTTTAGTGAATACTAATTTTAAGTATATGGAACTTTTAGAAGCTAAAGCACACGTTAGACTTTTGATCATATTTTATGATGCTACTCTGCTCCCGAGAGAACTGAGAACATGACTGTCAGAAGGTAGGGAAGAGACTCACTGTGCTGTCCAGCTGTATCCAGTGTACCTCGTTGCTGGTGCTGATTCGGGACTGTTGGGTCTGCAGGGTGTATGGACAGGAGGTGACCTGGAGCACCAGGAGGTTGAAAGCTTCCAGAACCTCTCTGCCGTTAATGACCCTGTCAGCCAGTCCATGGCTGGGCTCACCATGTGACAAAGAGCCCGACATGACGCTGTAGAGACATTGAAAGTCACATTAACACCTCCTCATCTAAGTGACTAGATGCACAATCAGAGAGCAAAACGGAGGCCATGTCTTAGCTCTTATTTTTTTCAGTTCTTATTAACTGAGAGCAGCAGCGGAAACAACCAGCATTTGATGTGGAAGAGCAAAAATAACCCTCTTTCGTACCCCTTTCAGACAGCTTAGAACACAAGCAGTAACTGAACAGGATGTGGGCAAAATTTCTTTTCTTTACCTTTCCTACCCCCTTCTCGCCCCTCTTTCCTTCTTTGCAAATCTAACAAGTTATGCAAGATCTTACACCTGCATAGGGCTCTAGACCAGATTATGGAGTACCAAGCACATTCTAGCTTCTGAACAAGTGCTTTTGTGATTCTGACATCTCCATCACAGATCAAAACACAAAATCCAGATGCCTAACCTCAGTGTGTTCCTGAGGAAATAAAGTCTGTGAGCGCTTGAGGATGCTAAAATTTCCCTCTCCTGACCTGGTTCGGACAAACCATGATATGTAATATGTGGCAACTATTTTCGCTTAAAAAAAACTTTTTGCTTTTTTTCAATCCATAGCAACAAAGATACCCCCTACCAGATAAGTACTGTGATTTGATCTGACTCCATCACACCACACCTACTACTCTTTCATTTAAAAAGCCCATAAAGAGAATGTTCTCTTGTTTAAACTGGTAAATTGTGGAAGATTCTGAAAATGCTCTCAGATCACTGAAGTGGCATCTCTACTGCTGTTAAAGGGGAGAGAGAAAGATAAGGGGGAGGAGAAAGAGCAGGGGAGGAAGGAAAAGAGGACCCGGAAAAGGAGGGGAGGAGGAGAACCAAGGAGGAAGTGGTGACAGGAAAGCACGTGGACCTTCTGCGAGGTCGCTCCCCACCTCCTCCCTGCTGTCACGCTTTCCCGGGAGCAGCCAAGTCCCAAGATGCTCTTAAGATGGAATTTTAACAGGAACTTGAAATTTTGAATTTGAAAATCCACCCACAGTATAGTTAACATCAACGTTAAAGCAGTAAGAAACATTGGGAGAGCAGGGGAAGGGCGGGAGTGAGTCACCCGTGAGACGATGCCGAACTGTGGGGTCTCTGGGCTTTCAAATTACCACCTTTGCGATCATTTATTACATAACCATTACTGTTGGAGAAGAAATATTGTATTTGCTCACTCTGAAGCAATCACCTCGTTAGTTCCACATGGGAGTTGTCATGAACTAGCACAAACAGCGTGTACGGGTTCTGTTTCACCCTTCTCATAAAAACTTCAAACTTGGTTTGTATCTCATTGTCTAGACGAACAACATATTTCTCTGCTCTCTGATAGGCTGTCCCATTTTCCTCCAGACCCAAGTCTACAAGGACACCTGCCAAGAAGAAAACAGAGATTATCTTTTTTACGTACATATCTATGAGATAAACTTAAGTTTAGTGTCAATGGATTTACTGAGTACTAACCTATAGGAAAAGGAGTATGTCAAGGCTGTATATTGTCACCCTGCTTATTTAATTTATATGCAGAGTACATCATGAGAAACGCTGGGCTGGAAGAAGCACAAGCTGGAATCAAGANAGAAGGGGACAACAGAGGATGAGATGGCTGGATGGCATCACCGACTCAATGGACGTGAGTTTGAGTAAACTCCGGGAGTTGGTGATGGACAGGGAGGCCTGGCGTGCTGCGATTCATGGGGTCGCAAGGAGTCGGACACGACTGAGCAACTGAACTGAACTGAACTGAACTGAACCACATATAGAGAGATTTAGAGTAGATAGCTTTCCTTTTCCATATTGCCCACCACCATTTTGAGGAGGAAATATCAGCCTTCCTTTTGTTTAGAATACCACACTTGACCTCCCATACCAAGTACAAATGACACCAGGGACCAATCCAATACATTAAGTAGACACTTGAATAATGAGACCTCTGTCCAATCAAATTCTATTTATATGTGAAGTGCTCTGCTAAAGATTACTAAAGGCCTCTGGGGGAAAAAACGAAGCTTTGGGCTACAGCTCTTGGCAAAACTGATATAACAGTGCAAGTTTTCCTTACCCCAAATTTAACAACATAACACATATAAGAGAAAAGGAAAAGAAAGTGTAATGTCCAAAGATACCACAGGCAGATCATAAGATTCTTTAAGGTGGTATTTTACTCATTTTATACAGTGAAAATGTTGCACAGTATACAAGGTATGGGAAGACCTCAATGAATGTGGGATTATGTACCAAATCAAAAAAATGAACTGAATTACTCAAGAAAACTATATTCTCAAAATGTTAGAAACTGTACAACTTTAATACTGTATCATTATCTCTGCCTATAGTAAAATTATTTCTATATACAAACATCTAAAATAGGTCTAGGTGCATGAAGCTGTTGTAATTAAAACACCAAATCCTCCTTTAAAATGAATAGACAAAGTGGCAATTATGTGAGGTGAAGGATGTGTTTACTAACCTTACCATGGTGAACGTTTCACAATATATACATGCATTAAAACATCACATTGTATACCTTAAACTTACACAATATGTTTATTATGGCTCAATACAGCTGGGAAAAACACTGCCCCCAAACAAACAAGAGTGTACAGCACTCCCTTGCCCACCCCCAGACACTCAGCCCTCTGACAGGACGATCTTGTGACTCAAGCCTATGACCCCCTGAGGAGGAACCAGAAGACTGATTTGGGGTTAGATATGTCACATTTGCGGGTTAGATATGATCTTCCAAGGATATTCATTTAACATTCAATATCAGCCACATCCATCAGTCCCAACTATGTGGAAAAAAATTTAAATTAAGAAAGATAAACAAGTGAAATGAAGAGACATTAACAAATTATGTTGACTTAGTTTCATCAATTTTTTTCATATAAAACCAGCTCAATTAACAACTACACGTACTTAGCATCTAGATGCCATAATATTAACAGCTCTAAGTGGTATAAAGGAAAGTAAGAAAAATGTTTTACAATGTGAAACACTCACTATACTGGAAAAGAACAGAAAGGTAAATATGCTTTCAAACTTTTTTCATTAGTCAAAGATTTTGAAACTTTTTTCTAACTTTTTTCTTTACTCAGAGATTGTTTTCAGTTTCCACCCAAATGTAGTCAAATACTGTTGTGAATATTTCCAAAAGCCATCAATCAGATATTTAATTTGGCAGGTTTCTTGGAAAGTGAACTGCTTATAAAGTGTATTTAACAGTCAGTAGAGGTTTATTCAACATCTATTATGTATCAGGTACTATGTCAAGTACTGTGCTAGGCGTGGGCATACACAGGCGGGCAGGACAAAGATCTTAGTCTCACGGACCTTATGATGGAGAAGACGGATATTCTGGACAAGTGTCATGATGAGAGACAAAGCCCTTTGAAGGGAGAAGCTGAGCAGAGGCACAGAGAAAGGACCTACTTAATCTCTGGGGGCTTCTGTTTCCTTTTTGTAAAAATGGGGGGAGTAGAGCCAGTCGAAAATTAACCTGTATTTCCTAAGTTTATCCTTAGGAAACAAGCAGTGCAAGTTAAAAATCTCTAAATATGAAAATGTGATAAATAATTCATGAAAACAAAAAATATATTTTTGTGTATAATTGAGTTGATCGCATTTCAAAACAAATGAAATGAAGACCAATTGTGTATGACTTTTTCACATCAGGTCCATACACGCCCTTAATGGAAAGGTAAAGTTGCACGAATCTCCGAGGTCGTTCTCTTAGATATAACATGGTGTGTTGGTCTATGTAGCCAGCTGACTCTGCAGGGGTGTGTCTAGGCGGAAGGAGGCACATCAGATGTACTTGATTGTTTTAGCTCTAACTGGACATTTTTAGTAGATCATCCTTACTTTTAAATTTTGTTTTAGACTTGCTTTTAGTTTTAAGTTTTGTTTCTTTCCTGGTTATGAAAGTGATAGATACTCATCTTGGGAAAACTGGAAAGTGTAGAGATATATTAAAAAAGAAGAAAAAAATCATCCATGATTCTTTAACTCAAAATAAGAACAGCAAACGCTTTTGTGCATTTCTTCCTGTTTTTTTTTAAATGGATATTCTTCTACCTAGCTCATGTTTTGTAATTGTATATCCTAACCTTTTTCACCTATAACTGCAAAGTGAGAAATAAAACCATTCACAACCAGTCTAATGATACAGTATTTATCCCTTCATAGAACCTGGTGGTCTTACACTGTATATATTAAAATATAAACAATATAATTTAATATTCCAGTTTAATTCCTTTCTCCCTTCATAGCTTCTCCTTAGTAAATGTAAAACAAAACTGGGTATGGTCTCTTCCTTCAGAGGGCCTCTTTCAAGAGGTGTTAATGGCACCATTACAAGCATTTTATTTCAACTCAATAAAAATATCTTGTGCATCTACTATATTTAGAAATAAATGGAACAATCAATTACTTCAAAAACAAAAGAGAAAGAAACAAGACTCATTCTTTACTAATAATATATCTTGGTAGAAAACACAAAATCATCCACAGATAAATCAATTAATAAGAATTTAGTTAAGTTGATGGATTCAAAATCAATTTATAAAAATTAGTTGGATTTCTATATACCAAAACAAATAGGAAATGTGTTTTAAAAAAACCATTTTCAATGATGTAAAAAAACACTGTCTAGGAATAAATCTTATAAAAGATATATAAGAACTTTGTGGAGAAAATGAAACTATTAATGGCATTAAATAAAACTTAAATAGAACTATATCATAAAATATAGTTAAAATTATTTTTTAAATGTATATGGCAGAGCAAAGAACCAAGGATAGTCAAGACAGCTCTGAAGTAGAAAAGGTGGGAGAGATTTATCTACCCAGAGACCAAGAATTATCAGCTGTATTAACAAGACAGTGGTTTTGGCATGGGGCAAACCCTGAAAACAGACCCCTATGCATGTAAAAACCTGATTTATGATAAAGCTTGCAATGTACATCAGTGGTAAAGAATGGGCTCTTTAATAATCAGCACTGAAGAAAAAAGAATATTGGCTCTTACCTCACCTGATACAAAAAGAAAAGAAATTCAGGTGGATTAAATGTGAAAGACAAAACTCTAAAACTTTTATGAGACAATGAAGAATAACTGTGTGACCTCATAGAGGATTTCTTAAACACAAAAGGCCAAAGGATAGATTATTCATCAAAGATGTTATAAACAAAAATACAAGCCTTCCAAATCTGTAACTAGTATTACTAAAAAGGATTAGTATTTAGCAAACAGAAATTGCTCCTATAAATCCAAGAAGGGCAAAAGAACTTGAGAAGAAATCCAAATGGCCAATAAACATCTGAAAAGATGTTCAATGTCATTAATAAAAAGGGAAATACAAATAAAAAGCATATAAAATGGAAGCTTATCAAATACAATTTTTTAAAAAACAAGATAATTGAAAGGAAGAAGTAGATGAAAGACAGACTTATGTATGTTAGCATTTCTGCAAAACAAATTCAAGAAGGATAAACCAGAAACTAAAGAGATTGGTTACCAGTAGGAGAGTGGGTGGGAAAGTGGTATAAAGAAGTGAGAATGAGAACCGGTAAGTATGAGGGGGGAAAGGACGCTTCTCTGAATGTTCCACCTTGTACATCTTTGGCTCTTAGAACCACAGAACAAAGTTAATCAAGAGTGGAGTGGGGGATGGGAGAAGGGCGTTAGAAGGGAGGAGAGGCAGGCAATGTGGAATCCAAATGGCAACAAATGAAACGGATCATCACCATCCTGAAAAGGTGAGCAAGAAAAGAGCAAGCCCAAGTAAAATAAATCAGTGTGGGCTGGCAATTGCATAATTTCTAGAAAAAAAAATCAAAGAAGTGAATATATACATTGCAGATAACAAGAACTAGGTTCCCCTGTCAGAGAAAGAAGTCACAAATAAAGACACAAGAAGGACTAAAAGAAACCTTGCTTCACTCTGTATAAGAGACCCCAGGTCCATCCATACCTCTACAAATGAGCCAATTTTGTGCCTCTTTATGACTATGTAATATTCCATTGTATATGGGAGGGAGATCCAAGAGGGAGAGGATATATATATAGCAGATTCACTTCTTTGTATGGCTGAAACTAACACAACATTGTAAAGANGATCCTTTACCCATATCTTAATTAGGCTATTTGTCTTTTTATTACTGAGTTATAATAGGTCTTTAAATAGTATAAGTCCCTATCACAAATATGATTTGCAAATAATTTCTCCCATTTTGTGGGTTCTCCTTTCATTTTCTTGAGGGTATCCTTTGAAGCACAAATACGGTTAAATTTTTTTTTTTAATTATGTACTTATTTAGGCTGTACCAGGTCTTAGTTGCAGTACTCAGAATTTTCTATCTTGGTTGCTGCA